GAGGTAGTTGGATCTCAGGAGCTTGATAGCTAGCCAGTCTAGTTGAAATGGAGAGCTTCAGGTTCATTTAGAGACCTTGTCTTAAAAGGTAAGATGGAGAGATATGGCGAGATGGCTCAGCAATTGAGGTAATTTAAATTCCTCCCACAACATAATAAAAAATAAACAAAGCCTATATTTGTTATTGAGGAATCATGAGTTATATTAGTGATGAGAAACCCAGTTGATATATGACTTTGTAATTAGATCTTCACCACATGTTATTTATTTAAATTAAAATAAAAAAGTTTTGGCATGGATATGTGTGTAGACCTGATGTCCTGATGTGCATCCGTGTGGTACGTATGTGTGGAGGTCAGAGAACAACTTTGTGGAATCTGTTCTTTCCTCAACCTCTTGGGTTCCAGGGATCAACTTAGAACTTAGGTTGTTGGGCTTGTGCAGCAAGTGCCTTTACCCACCGAGCCATCTCAGCCCTTAAAGTCTTTAAGTGATAAGGCTTTTTTTTTGATTGTTTTGCTTTTTGAGACAGGGTTTCTCTGTCTGTCTGTCTGTCTGTCCTGGAACTTACCAAGCTGGCCTCCAACTCAAAGATTCACCTGTCTCTGCCTCCTAAGTGCGAGTGCTGGGATTTAAAGGCGTGTATCATCACTGCCTGGAAATAGCTTGTTTTTAATGTCTAGTTCACATTTAAAAGTTTTGACTTCATAATAATAAATAATCTCAGAAATGCTCACAAATAATGGAAAATGTATAGTGTAGGATATTATATATAATATACGTATAGTATAGGATATAATCAACAGCATTGTCCCATTATTTTCAGACTTTTTTGTTGTCTCTCATTTTGAGTTTTGTTTTGTTTTGTTTTGAGATACAATCTTACTATATGTTGTCCAATTTACAGTCTTCCTGCCTTGGTCTCAGAGTGCTAGGACTGCAGGTGTGTATCATTACACCTAGCCTGTTACTGTTTTAAAGATTTATTTTATTGTTTTAAATTATGTGTGTTTGTGAGTGACCCTCCCTCCTTCAGTTATAGGTTGTCAGTAACTCCTCTGCTGAGGCTGGGCATGATGTTGTGGGTGCTCCTCCCCATTCATGCTGGAATTTTGGCTGGTAAGATTTTGTGCAGATAGCCACAGCAGTTGCAAGTTAGTGAGTGCAATAGCCATATCATGTCTGGAAGTCAACATTTCATAGTTCTCCTCTCCATCCACCAGCTCTTACATTTTTTTTCTGCCTCCTCCTTGGAGATGCTCTCTGAGCCTTGGATGACTGTGTGGGAGTGGGAAGGTTGATGGATGGCTCATCCGCAGCTGAGCACTCACGGTTACTTAGGTCTTTGACCACTTAGGATGAGTTTGTTTTTAAAAAGGTTTTTTTCCATGGTCAAATTTTAAAATAGAATGGAGACATTTGAAGTGGGAAAGTAAAAGTTCTTTAGTCACAGTTAAGAAAAACCACTGTTATTTGTTGGGTAGGCGTTTTACACATGGATCTTTTTCCTTTTGAAAACATAAATGAAGCCATTGTGTAGTTTATATAAATATGTGTTGTATATTTTAACTGGCTCCAGAGAACTCTGTAGGATGGAATTTTCGTAAGTTATTTAACTTCACTCATTTTGATTGCATGTAGGTTTCATTTACGATTTTTTTTTAATAAAATAACTTCTTGGTAGATAGTTTTCCAAGATTGTATGATTATATATGTATAATAGATTCTTAGAAATGGTGTTAATGAGATTATGATATTGGTGTGTACCCTAATATATTGACAAGGTCTTTGGTGGGCTATCTTTTTACTGCTATCTTTTTCATGGAATCAGAGTTCAGAATTCAATATATAGATATGGTTTTAATATGTTATTTATTTATTTATTTGGTTTTTTGAGACAAATTTCTCTGTGTAGCTCTGGCTGTTTGGAACTCATTCAGTAGACCAGGCTTGTCTCTAACTCATAGAGATCTGCTTTCCTCTGCTCCTGAGTGCTGGGATTAAAGGCACTGCCTGGCTAAGTCCAATGATTCTTGAAAACAAAAAGATTATTAACACAGAAGTGGACACACCTGACTGAGCAGAAGAAAAGTGTATCTTTGTGGCTGCAGAAATTCTTTGTAGTTGACTTGCAGAACTTGTGACTTCTCTGGGCATTCTGTAAATAATTTACAGCCTGAGAACACTGCACAACCACAGTAATGGCACCTCAGGCTTTGGATGATATTGAGCACTTTAATAATTCATTGGTTATCGCAGCTGCTTCCCCATAGCATGAGTGGGAGGGGAATCTACACTCGGAGCAATAAAGCCTTCATTGAGATGTTTACACATCAGTCACTCGCACTACAAATACAGAAAAGGTTACTGATTGTTAAGTACATTTTGGGAATAGTTGAAGGGAACAGATGGAGCTTTTATTTTAATTATAACAGTGTTGGTGATGCCTTACCAAACCCTTACTCTTCTTGGTAGTTAATTTCTTATTGTGTGTATGTTTGCATATGTGTGAACATACGTATCTGTGCAAATGTTGGTGCACATGATTGTGGAGGCCCAAAGTTGATATTGTGAGTGTTCCTTTGAGCAGGTGTGTCCCTCAACTGAACCCAGAACTCAGCTAGCCAGGTTGTTCTTGGGATCCTGTCTCTGCCTTTTGAGTGCTGGAATTATAGGTAGGCTTCTAGGCCCTACATTGCATTTGTGTGGGTATTGGGGATCCAAATCCTGTTCTTTATGCTTGCACAGCAAGCATCTTTTTTATTGAGTCATCTTCCCAGGTTGTTGGTAGTCTAACTCTTGATTGCTCTTCTTCCTACTGGAGAGATGATTCAGAGGGTAAGAGCACTGGCTACTCTTCCAGAGGTTCTGAGTTCAATTCCCAGCAATCACCTGGTGACTCACAACTTTCTGACTCTAGTTATAGGGGATCAGGCACTGTCACACAGATATACATGCAGGCAAAATATCAGTGCACACAAAATGAAAATAAATTGTTAAAATTAGAAATATAGTTTGATGTCAGTACCATCAATTAAAAAATAATAACGATGCTTAGAGTGTAAATAAATTACACTCTTAAATGAAAGTGGCCAAGATATGCAGGCTTGAATCTAGCTCAGAAATTGCTGTGCTATGATAGAGACATCATTCAAACCCGCATGCCACTTGCCAACTGCCTGTTGCGGCACAGTGAGATGAATTGATCTGTAGTGTTTCTCCAGTGTGTCCCCTAGACATATAATAAGTCTCTTAGGCAAACAGCTTGCGTGGACCACATTCCATCCACTTTAACATTGTAAAGATGACAGGAATCATCCACGTGAATTTTAAAAAGACTATTCAAAAGTTTAAACTCAGGATGAACTTTAGTGAAATTTCTACTCTAATTAACTACTTGTCTGAGATGGAAAGAAATTTTGAATAAATAGCTTCTCTACTTTTAGTTGTGTGACTTTGGGTTGACAAACTATTAGTTTGTATGCTTGGCAAATGTGAGGATTGTAAATATATTTGTCTTGTAGTTTTGTGCTAATTTAGCTAGTTGTACACAGAAGACTGTCCACCACTTAATAAATATTAAACTAAAACTGTCACCATCATCAACATAATTTGAATGAGATTCATTACCATCTCCAGAAGCTGAATAGCTCCTTTTAAGAAGACTCAATTCCCTAAAGGCTGCAGTTAGTTTTGTTTGCTTGCTTTTTGAGATTGGGTCTTGCTGTGAGCACAGGTTAGCCTTACATACTAGTGTTAGCCTTTGTGTATCGCCACTGCATATGCAACTCAGTTCAAGTTTTAGTATAGAAACACTCATTTTGACTTGTGACTTCTACCTTTAGATTTGTTTACAGCTAATCTGGCTTTATATAATCACTACAAGAGATAAAGAAACTCATTGTTAAGTGAAGAAAGCAAGGGACCAAATGTGCATTATCATTTGTGTAAAAATTTGCTGGCGTATGCATAAAACATTTGGAGGGCTGCAATCACACGGTAGTTTCCTTTGTTGCTATTGGAAAAAGACAAACTGTTAGGAAGCTGATGACAAGGATTGAAGACTTTCTATTCTTTTATCCTTACCTTTGGGGGGGGGGGCAGGGACAGGGTCCCAGTTTCTCACTATGTAGCCTTATAGCCTGGAACTCACAGAGATACAGATATCTGTCTACTTTTGCCTTTCAAGTGCCCACCACACCCAGGTTGTTTGTTTTTGAGTCAAAATTTTTGTTATATAGCCCAGGTTGGATTGAAGTTTATGTTCCTTCTACCTCAGCTTTCCAAGTGCTGAGATTATAGGTATGGATCACCATAGTTGGCTTTTGCTTTTTTTATGGAACCATATTGATATATTTTAAATTACTAAAAACACATTGCAAATTGAAAAGTATTAAATCTGTTTTGAAATTTGAATGGACTTATTCTTAAGCATTTATTTTGGTAATGCTGAAATTCAGTTGCACTTTTTTTTTCTTTTTGAGATTACTATGTAATTCTGGCTGTCCTAGAGTTTACTGTGATACCAGGCAAACCTCACATTGGGTGAGCCTCCTACTTTTACCTTTTTAGTGCTGAGAACTACAGACAATTCAGTACCATGCCCTGTATTCACACTTAGGGACTGGTGAAGTAGCTCAGAGGTTAAGGGCACATACTACTCTTGAAGAGAGGAATCTTGCAAAGGACCGTATTTAGTGCCTATAACCCTACCTTCACTCTGACCTAAAACTTTTGCCTCTGCCTGAGTAGTCTACCTCCTGAGTGCTGGGATTAAAGGCGTATACACCTGACTAAAATGAATCTTTAAAAATTTACCTTTAGTAGGACTTCCAGTATTTCCATTTTAGTTTTGTACTTCCTCCCTTCCTTGGACACACTAGGGCGTGCCTGGATCTTGGCCTCTCTAACACTGCTATATCTATATAGCTCATGTTTTGTTTTATTTTTATGTGAGGTTCAGCTTCCACCACTAAGCTATGTATATTTGTCTTTTTCAGGGATTTGAGTCACAATCGGTTGTCTAACTGGAACATCAGCTTCGAATCACAAACATTACAAGAAGTGTAAGTTATTTTTATTTATTTACTATTATGATCTTTGAAATAACCTAATTATGAATTTGAGTATTTTTTGGTGTATGTTTGTGTTTTGCCTGTGCTCTTGTATGTGCTTGTGGAGTCCAGAGATGAACATTAGGTGTCTTCCTGAATTGCTTGCCTACTTTTTTATTTAAAATAATGTTTTTATTTATCCTTTGAGAATTTTATATATTTTGACTGTAATGGAATAATTAAAAATCCTGCAGGATCCCCGGCAGTTGCAGTGGCAAAAATGCTACACGTCTCCAAGTGGTGGCAGCAGGCCATATGGCGTCAGGCAGCTGGTCCTGAGAGCAGCCAGTCCCAGGCAGGAACAGTGCAGTTCCCCGAGTGGCTGCAGCAGGCCACAAAGAGAGACAGACAGATGGGCACACCATGAGACCAGGCTGCAGGTCTCCGAAGGTGGCTGGTCCAGGGCAGGGAGCCATGTGGTGGTGAGCGAGAGACAGAGACATGGATAGACACGCCATGCAGAGTGAGGTTGGATATTTATTTAGTGGGTTATGGAAGGGAAAGGGAGAAGGGGAGAAGAACAAAGAGGTGCAGAGAGAGAGAGAGAGACAGACAGACAGAAGGGGGGAAGGGAGAAAGTGGGGAGAGGGTGAGGAAAATGAAGGAATGAAGGGCAACTGGGGTGGGGGGTAGGCGTGTCTTGTCTCTTAAAGAGACAGGACAGACTATTACATTGGCCATATTCTTTCCCTTCCTCCAAGTCCTCCCAGATCCTCACACATCTCCCCACCCAACTTCATGTTTTTTCTCTCTCTTTCTTGTTTTTGACTTTGTTTTTCTTTTGAAACAGGGCTTTTCTGTGTAGCCCTGACTGTCCTGGAATTTACACTGTAGCTCAGGCTGGCCTTGAACTCAGAGATCCTCTCCCTCCCAACCCCAGCCTCTATCTCCTGAGTGCTGAAACTCAGCTTGTAGATCAGTCTGACTTTGAACTCACAAAATCCACTAGCTTCTGCACCTAATCAGTGCTCTTTCTCTCTCTTAAAAAGCAAAGACTAAACAAACAAATAAAATCTCTAAACAAACATGGTAATTTGTGTTGGCTAGCTATTCCTGAACATGGAGCCTTCCTTGAGTGTGGTTGATGTAGTCAATATCACTCCACTGAAAACAGACCGATTTCCTTTCCCAGCAGTTACCAGTTGTAAATAGCTTTTTATCTTGGAGTGGGACTTTGTGTTCACATTCCCTGGGGGTTTTGTCTGGTTTGAGCTTGTGCAGGTCTTGTACATGCTGCTGTCTATGTGAGTTCGTGTGTCCATTTGCCCTGTTTTGTCTAAGAAGACAGCTGTTTTCCTGAGGTCATCTGCCCCCTCTTTTTCATGCATCCTTGAATCTTGATGGGATGAGCATTCCAAAGTCTCTTACACTCTGCACATTGATTACCATCTGCTTCAAGGAGAAGCTTCTCTGATAGGGGTTGAGAGATACATTGATCTATGGGTATAGCAGTATGTCATTAAGAGTCGTTTTATTGATGTGTTCATTTAACAGAATAGTAGTAGATTTCCCCTAGGGCCTATGACCTGTCTAGCCTCAGGCTCTCGGCCTCATTCTACCTTAGTTTTTGAAACAGCAGCTCTCAACCTGGACCTCGCTGATTCAGTGAGATTGGCTGGTCATTGATTACCAGAGATTTCTACTTCCCCCACCTCAATACTGGGTGAACGGATGTGTACTACTCTATTCAGCTTTACATTGGTGCTGGGGATCTAAATTTGATCCTTATGTTTGCATAGCAAGTACTTTGCTGCCTGGACCATTTCTCCAGTCTGAATTTGGTAATATTTAATCTAGAGATGCTGTCAAAAAAATTGAAAGAAGGGCTGGAGTGATGGCTCAGTGGTTAAGAGTACTTGCTGTTCTTCCAGAGGACCGAGTTCCATTCCCAACAGCCTTGTGAGGCAGCTCACAGCTATGCTTCAGGGGATGCACTGCACTTAATGTGTATAACCCTCTTCTTCTCATGTAATTAGAAATAATAAAAATCTTACACAAAAGAAGAAAAAATCTAATTTCTCCAAAACCACATTTTATATTAGTCTAACTTATTCTGTGTCATAGACCTTTCCAAATTTGGATACACTAACATATCAGCAAAAAAAAAAAAAAAGATTCAGAAGGTAATTTCTACCATTAAAATTTCAAAACTGTTTTCTCTTTTGCGTAGGAAAATGAATTACAATGAGCTAACAGAGATCCCATATTTTGGAGAACCAACACCTAATATTACTCTACTTTCATTGTAAGTTAAGATTTCATTTTTTTAAATTATGAATTGTATATATATGTGCACACACCTGCGTGTGTGTGTGTGTGTGTGTGTGTGTGTGTTTTGGAGAATCAACACCTGCTATGAGTCTGCTGTCACTGGAATATAACAGTACCTGTTATTTGTTTTTAAAAATTCCATACGTTTTCTTCTAATTGTTTAGTTTCCTTGTGGCCTGAAATGGGTCACTGGCAATAACTTCAGTGTAATCCTTGTTTTATAGAGTCCATAATTTAATACCAGAAATAAATGCAGAAGCACTTCAGCTTTACTCTGCTCTCGAGAGTTTAGACCTCAGTTCCAATATAATAACAGAAATCAAGACATCTTCATTTCCTCAAATGTCGCTGAAATACCTGTAAGTAAAATAGAAACCTAGATTTGCTGAATTGATTGGAAGAATAATTTATTGAGTAAACTGCAAGGGAACAGTGGGCTGGGCAGTAACTGGTGTCCTGCCTGCTTTCTGGATTCTCTTTAAAGTGCATTTCTGTAATTCATTGGTTAACTGCATTCCCTCAAATGTCTGCTGTTTATTTAATTTTGATATTCATGTGTAAAACAAGCTTAGTTTTGGGCTTTTGGAGTTATTTATTCTTCTACTTCACCCGAAAAGAAAGAGTACTCTGTTGCCAGAAGAAAAAAAATTACTAGGCATTGAGAGCAAAGTTTGAGATTTGTAACATTGGTCTGTTTGTTATTGTACATGGCGTGATGTAATATCTTACGTGAGAGTGTGAAGGTCAGAGGACAACTTTGTGCAACTGTTTTCTGTCTTCCACCTCTATCTGTCTCTCTCTCCTCCCTCCCTTCTTCCTTCCTTCCTTTGCTTGCTTTTTTTTTCCCTTTTGGTTTTTTGAGACAGGGTTTCTCTGTGTATCCCTGCTGTCCTGGAATTGGCTCTGTAGACCAGTCTGGCCTTGAACTCAAGAGATCCCCCTGCCTCTGCCTCCCCTAGTGCTGGGATTAAAGATGTGTGCTAATAGTGCTCTTTTTTTCTCCCCATCTTTATGTGTGTTCCTAGGATGGAATTCAGGTTGTTAGGCTTGTTTGGCAAGTGTTTTTATTTGCTAGGTCATCTTGTCAGCACAAGATTTAGTTTGAGAGTTTTTCATTTTGGTACTGGGAACCAAATCAGTATCTTGTTACACTAGGCAGTTTCTGTCCCATGAGTCACACCTCCAGTCCTAATCAGCAGTTTTGTAAAAAGTAAAACAGGAATGCTTTGTTATTGTTTGTTAAATAATAGCTTATCCTGTGTAATGATGATGTTAGTTAGCATGCATGCCAGTTTCTAAAGCATACTCATTCACACTACCTTGTAACATCCTAAATGAAGTACACCTTTACTTTTTTTTGCCCATTTGTTTTGAGACAGGGTTTCACTGTGTTTTCCTGGCTGGCCTGGAACTTATCAGGTAGACCAGGCTGGCCTCAAACTCATAGAGACCCATCTGCCTCTGTCTTACAAGTGCTGGGATTAAGGGTATGTACCACCATGTCTCACCTTCCTCATGTTTTTCAATATCAGGACTCTAAACCCCCAGGACCTTGCCATATGCACTCCATCTCTGAGCTGTACTTTCAGCCGTAACATAATTAATTTTGCAGATGTAGGGAGAAAACAATTAAGTGATTTGTGACTGAAATAATAGTTAGGGGCTGAGGAAATTGCTCAGTGGGTACAGATGCTTGACTCTGCAAACACAAGGTCCCGAGTTCAAGTCCCAAACACCCATATGAAAATAGGGACATGGCTGTGTGTGTCTATAACTCCAGCATTGGGGGTAGTGAGAGTTCGATGGCCAGCCAGCCTGTCTAGCCAAAGTGATGGACTCCTGATTCCATGAGCGACTGAGATTCTTGTTTCAGGAAAAACCCTGTCTTGAGGTATTAAAGTCAGAGAATGGTAGAGGTAGTCCTCTCTTCCCCCCATACTGCTCTGGCCTCTACCCCCGCCTCCACATTATGCACATTCACCTGGATAACATATACACATGAATACACACACAAAAAGTACCAGTTAAGGTTCTTTTTTTGGTTCATAAGCACGATGCTTGGGTGTTCATGCCTTTGCATGGTGTGTGTGTCCCATGACTTTGTTATAACCTTGGCACATGACTTTTTCTGACATTAAAAAAAAAGCATGATTTGGGGGGCTGTGGGGATAGCAGTTAAATAATTTGACAAAATGTATGTAGTTAAGTGATGGAATTAGAGCCAGAGTTACAGACTTTGGTTAGTTATCACTGTTTCTTTTCTTTTGCTGCTACCTTGTCATTTTAGGAATTTGAGTAATAATAGGATAACCACCTTGGAGGCCGGTTGCTTCGACAACTTATCGGGTTCTTTATTAGTGGTAAAATTGAACCGTAACCGAATTAGCATGATTCCACCTAAAGTCTTCAAGCTGCCTCATCTCCAGTTCTTGTGAGTAACACAATTACAGATTGTAAGAGACAAGTTTTCCTCTACAGCAGTTTTTCTGTTTAAATTACTGTTAGTAACTCAGCCAGTTTTCTAACTGTGAAATATTCTGTTTAAGGGAGCTGAAAAGAAACAGGATTAAAACTGTAGAAGGCCTCACCTTCCAAGGTCTTGATTCCTTACGCTCATTGAAAATGCAGCGAAATGGAATTAGCATACTCAAAGATGGAGCATTTTTTGGCTTGAATAATATGGAAGAGTTGTAAGTACTGGGATAGGGGAGAGTTGGGAGGACTCTTGCTGGGCTTTTAATCAAATAACTAGTGTAGTTGCTTAGTTAACAGAGATACATGGTTTTTCTGATGTGAGGTAAAATGCTAAAACCTTCACTTTCTTCTCCCTTCTTCCTCCCCTCCAAGATTGAAGCCTGGCCTCACACATGGCTTGCATAGAGACTTTTAAGTTTTTTTTTTATTTAACTGGTAATTTTGTTATGTTTTTCAATATAAATTACATTGTTTTGACTCACCAGAATTTATCTGAATCAGAAATCCAATACCACTTGGTGTGTTTGTATTATAGATACTTAGTCCCTTTAGGGCTAGATCTTAAGTTTCTTGGATTACTAGAGTTCAACAAAGGTGTCTGTCTGTCAGATCATTTAAGGGAGATTTAAAATTTTGGTATTGAACGTCTTGTTTTGAGTTACTCACTTCTCTCTATAATTGTACAGAGAACTGGAACATAATAACCTTACAGGAGTGAGCAAGGGGTGGCTATATGGCTTGCGAATGTTACAGCAACTGTATATGAGCCAGAATGCTATTGAAAGAATCAGCCCCGATGCATGGGAGTTCTGCCAGAGACTATCTGAACTGTAAGTGTTGAGTGGTGTTTCATGGGAGGATGTGAGACTAGAGCAGGTTGGAGTAAATTACTTAGCTCATCGTAGTCATGAGATCTAGCATCCCTATTTCCTTGGTCTTTGTTAGAAACACTAAACTTAGCATGTCAATGGAGTAAAATTTATAGGTTGGGCTAAATACAATAATTTTTGACTTTCAATGTTTTTTGTTTTTTAGGGATTTGTCCAATAACCAACTGACCCGCCTTGATGAATCTGCCTTCGTGGGTTTGAGTTTACTGGAGAGATTGAATTTAGGGGACAATAGAGTCACTCATATTGCTGATGGTGTATTTAGGTTTCTTTCCAATCTTCAAACACTGTAAGTTTTTGTTTTGTTTTTTAAAATTTTTTTTTAGATTGAAACTAAGCAAATGAATGAAAATAATCAGTATGAAAATGGATATATGCTAGTATTTTGTGCTTCTTTTGTTCTCTACCCCATAAATAAATTTTGCCGCAGCTTACACTTTAATTCTGAGTTAATCTCATAACAGCAAAGCCTTTCCATGCCAGTTGGCAATGTTAGAATGCAGTCATTGTTTTTTCTCTTGGTGAGTAGTGTACCAGAACTCCAGCCTTGTCTGGAAGGATGCAGGTGGATAGTGGTAGCAGTCTGTTCACTGTGGTAGTTTGCTGCATGTCTTTTTGCGTGTGTGTGGTTTTTGGGTCTTTGGGGGCAGTGCTGTGGTACAAAACTTGAGCATGCTAGGTCAGCACTTTACTGCTGAGCTACATCTTCATGCATTGCCTAAAAGAAACTAATGTCATCTCAGTGTGTAGCTTAGGTTAGACATGAGCTCTTAGCTCTGCCTTCCAGGTACAGGGATTATAGGCATGTACTATCATGCTTGGCTAAATAGTATGTATGTGTGAAGTGCACGTACATGTGCTGCTGCTGCTGTTGGTTGATTATTGACCTTGTTCAGTGGAGCAGGACCATTGATGAATTTCATTAAGATTGCTTACAGGAATCTGGCTCAGGTAGCAGTGTCTGTGAGACCGCATCTTTACTTCATTGCACTAGTAGCACATCTGTAATACTAGAGTACAGGATAAGTCTTCACAAGAGGTTTGTGTTCTTGAGAAGCACTTATCTACCAGGCACTGTAGAAGAGGATGAAGAAAAGCAGGACCTGCTCAGGAGACCAAGGATTGGGTGTGTGGGGTGAGGTGTGGGACAGTGTTAACCCTTCTGACAGTTGCTTTTCTCCCAGGATGGGCCTCATTTTATGTAGGTGATCACCGCTTCTGAGAGTTTAGGATTATTATGCTGTGTGATGCCTGGAGGACAGTGCTCCACAACATTCCACCCCTTCTTCCTGCCCATGCATTTTTTTTGCACTCCCTCTTCCATGAGACTCCCTCCGCTTTGGTGTGTTTAGTTAAAACCATGTCCATAGATTTAATTGACTCTTTCCCATCCTTTCCTCTCCTTCTTTTCCTCATCCTCCCCTACTCCCCTGCTTCCTTTCCCATGTAAACACTTCTACTTTGTTTTTCCTCTTCCTACTTTTTATATCTCCTGGGTTCTATCCCTTCCCCCTAAGAATGTCTTTTGTCCCTTCGTAGGGGCCTCTTCTCATAATTTAAATTCTTAATGGCTTTTGATTAGAATACTTGGTGATTATTACATTCAAAATTAATAAATGGTTTCAGGAAAGAGATAGGCTCCAAATTTTGTTACCTAACCACCAATGAGAAGGAGACACAAAAAGTATAAGAAAATACTCTCATACTTAGGATGCACACTGTCTTGTTACTATTATACTTAGTTACTTAGTTCTATTGCTGTGAAGAGACACTATGACCAAGGCAACTCTTATAAAGGAAAACATTTAATTGGGGCTTTGCTTGTAATTAGAGAGGGTTAGTTCATGAACATCATAGCAGGGAGTGTGGCAGTAGGCAGGCATGGCACCGGAGCAGTGGCTGAGAGCTTATATCTTGATCCCCAGGTAGAAGACAGAAAGACTGGGTCTAGTGTGGGCTTTTGAAACCTCAAAATCAAAAACCCTGGTGACATACCTCCTTTAACAAAGCCACACACCCCTTCCAGCAAGGACATACTTCCTCCTGCAGGGACATACATAACCCAGTCCTTTTCAAATAGTTCTAACTGGAGATCAATCATTCAAACACATGAACCTATGGGGTTGTTCTAATTCAAACCACCACATTTCACTCCCTGGCCCTAAACAGTTGTTAGCAATATCATGATGAAAAATGCATTTAGTTCATCTTCAAAAGTCCTCATAGTCTTTCATTGTCTCAAACACTGTTTAAAAAGCCCAGAGTTTCTTCTGAGACTCAAGGCAGTCTTCTAATTATAATTCCCTGTAAAATCAAATATTCCCAACATACAATGGTACAGAATGTACATTACCGTTCCAAAAGGGAGAAAAAAGGGCATAGGAAACACTAGACCAAAGCAGGACCAAAACCCAGCAGGGCAAATTCCATATTCTGTGTCTCTATGTGCAGTGTAAAGGGGCTTATCAGATGGTTTTTTATATCCCACTTTTTCAGCTTTGTTGACTGTAGCACATTTCTCTGGCTGGTTCTGCACCTGTGTATAGCTCTCGACAGGTATCCATAGTTCTGACATTGCCATCGTCTTGGGATCTCCAATGTAATTACCCAGGTTTCACCTTAATAGCTTCATGGAATTGCCTCTTTGGGCCACGATGAAGGGACTCCCCTGCCACACACCTTGCCTTAGCGACTTTCCCTAATTGCTGAGGAATATTCTACAATTTCTTTCCTGTATCCTTGGTCAAACCAGAGCAGTGTAGCCAAAGTGTGAAGTTCCTCTGCCTGGCCTAAAACCTGGTCTCTTCCATGACTTACATTTGCATAAGCTTTGACTTGGTGATTTCCTTTGCCACATAAACTTTCCTTTTTATAAGTTGTAGGATTAGCTGAGTTGGTTTTTGCCCTGAGGTAACATTCCTTTTATTCCATTTAGCATCCGACCTTTCTTTAAACTTCTCATCTCTGTGGGCTTGCTTGGCTCCAGTGTTACATTCCCTGGTGTACTCCCCACCCCAACTGTATATTTTATTTTCTATTTCTTTTTGCATTATTGGCTCCTTTTCATTGTAGATCTGTGTGATAGTGATCATTGGTAACCACATAACACAGTCAGTGCTAGGCTGTTTTGAAGTCTCTACCAGTGACATTTGTCCAAACCTCTTCAATTTAGTCTTTGACAGATTTTTTTTTGGTGGGGGGGACAAAGGGCAGAAAGCAGCCACATTGTTTGCTAACACATCACAAGAATGGCCTCTAATATTCTTCTCCTCTGAAACCTTCTGAACTGGGCCTTCATAGGACACATTGCTCTCAGCACATCAGTCTTCTATGCTCCTACTAGGGTGGCCCAGTTAAGCCCTACTTTATAGCATTCAACTGCTTTGTTCATCCAAAGTCCCACGTCTACCATATTTCTTTAAATAACAGTATGGTCAGGCCTGTCACACCAATACCCCAGTTCCTGATACTGACTTCTGTCTTAGTTCTACTGCTGTGATTAAACACTATGACTGGACTGGAGTGCTGGCTCAGAGGTTAAGAGCACTGTGTGCTCTCCCAGAGGTCATGAGTTCAATTCCCAGCAACCACATGGTGGCTCACAACCATCTAAAATGGAATCTGGTGCCCTCTTCTGGCATGCAGGCAGAACACTATATATATAAAATAATAAGCACAATCTTTAAAGAAAGGAAAGAAACACTATGACCAAGGCAACTTATAGAAGGAAGCATTTGATTGCGGACTTTTTTACAGTTTCAGAGGGTAAGTCCATAACTATCATGACGGGGAACATGTAACAGCAGGCAGGCAGGCAGGGCATTGGAGTAGTAATTGGAGAGCTTACACCTGATCTACAAAATAGAGATAAAGTAAGCGAGACTGGACCTGACCTGGTTTTGAAATTTTAAAGTCCTTTCCCAGTGATACCTCCTCAAACAAAGCCACACCCCCTAATCCTTCCCAAATAGTTCTACTAACTGAGGATCAAGCATTCAACTGTAGTAGCCTAAGGGGGCCATTTCTCATTCAAACCTACACACACACACACACACACACATAACTGTATATGTATACCAAACTGGCCTTAAACTCAGAGAGTTCTGCCTCTGGAGCGCTGAAATTAAAGGTATGCACCACCATACCTTACTGATTATGAGCTTTGTTAGCATTTTGCTTGAAGAGGGCTAAGAAGAAACCTCTCAGCTGGGTGGTGATGGTGCACACCTTAAATCTTAGCATTTGGGAGGCGAATCTCTGTGAGTTCGAGGCCAACCTTGTCTACAAAAGCTAGTTCCAGGACAGCTAAGGCTGTGACACAGAGAAACCCTTTCTCCTGTCTGGAAAAAAAAAAGAAGAAGCCTCTTTATATAATCTTATAAATCAGAAAGCGTGTGTCTTAGTTTAGTGTAAGATGGCTTTAGGAAGCAAATTGATTAATTTTTTGTGATTAAATATTTTAATATAACTGATATTTTATCAGCACATGATGCATACAATTGTATTTCCTCTGAGAATTTGGAATAGTGGATTTTAAAACGCTGTAGTTTTCAAGAAAACACAGTGACTATTCTAGCACATGGGCACACCATTTTTTGATTCCCAAGGGGAATGTTGGATTGCTCTTGAGCTGTGAAGCTTTGTGTTGGTATTACTTTTTGAGCTATTTTAAGGTTAAGGGCCCAGAGGAAGGCTTGAAACACCCAGAAATTCCATTAATCTAAAACTACATTTGTAAGCTGTTATCTATCTTCTTTATCTTGAAATCCTCCTTTATGTAGGATCCTGTTTACAATTTTTAATAGGCCAGTACAATTAGATGTGGTTAACTAGAAAGATTAGTAACCTTAGCAGGTTGCTTGACTTGCTTATTTGTTTGTTTGTTTTTATTTTTGAGACAGCGTTGCTCTATAAGTTCTGGCTATCCTGGAACTCACTATGTAGGTCAGGCTGCCTTGAACTCAAAGAGATCCTCCTGCCTCTACTTCCCGAGTGCTGGACTAAAGGTATATGCCACCACGCCTGCTTAATTTATTAATTCTTCTGTGCTTATCAAAAATAATCCTTTAAAAAGTAGGACTGAGTTTTCACTGTAAATAATTGTTAAAACAAGGGTCAAAATTAGCATGTATCCTTTTATGCTGCCATACCATGATCTTGCCTAGTTTATGGTAGTCATATTGATTAACAACTTTTTTCTTCCTGACACTTTCAGAGATTTGAGAAACAATGAAATTTCATGGGCCATAGAAGATGCTAGTGAAGCCTTTGCTGGACTCAAAAGTCTCACTAAATTGTATGTATCTGTGGTGTTTGTGTATATAAGGTCTTTTCAAGGAGCAATTATAAATGTTATTGGATAATGTGTTTTTTATATAGCTAGAAAGTCTGAGCTTTCCTATCATCTCCTAAAGGAAGGAGCTTTGTTTGTTTGTCAAATAGTTTGTTATTGTTTAGGCGCTTTTTATTTATAAAGTATGCCTATGGAAATGTATTTTTTTATTTCTTAGTTTCAGGTTAGCATTGTAAGAGATAGGTTTTATCATAGAATGTTCATCCATATGTTTTATTATTCCTTGTTCTCGTTCATTCCCCTCCCCTACTGTCCTCTTCGCATTTCCTCCCTGCTTGAATGATTTCGTTTTTACATCCAGGTAGTTCCTTCTGCTTTCTTAGGACTTATGTACCATGCTGTATTTCCCACCCTTTTAAAGATTTCTTCCTCCCCTCTCGTGATACCTTTTATCATGAGATAAAATTTTTATAAAACTTTTATAAATTTTTGTTATATATGTGCTACTTTTCCTTATCCATCCATGTTTTACTGGACACCTAGGCTGTGGCATATTGACTCAGAGTCCTTCAGGTTTATATTTACCAGTAGCTTAGCTAGGCCAGGGTAGTTCTATTTTCAGTTTTTGGAGGAACCGCCATACTGATTTCTATAGTGACTACAAGTTTGTATTCTAAATCATGCGGGATTTGAATAAGTTACAGAATAGAGTTTTCCATTCAAATAAGAGAAATAAATGCTTTCAGAAAGTGTAGTTGAGCGGTAGTGTGTTTAATCATGAGATATGTGGGGAATATGTCTAATAATAGGAGAAAATATTCTCCTATGATGCATTTTACATCTTTTTGAGAAGGTTTTCTCCAAATATTTATACTCTGAATGTCTTTAATTTGACCATCTTTTATTAAGGAGAGAAATGGGGAATTTAACCCCAAGTAGCAATGGCAAATTATCAGCATTTTAGTGGTTAGGATGACTGTTGAGAGGAGCTCAGAGGAGCTCTGAAATCTCAAGAGGAGTTTCCATGTTGCGCTTTGCGTTAATTAGTAAGTTCATAACTTTCTTTAAAATAAATGCTTGCTTTCATTAAGCCACAATTCAATGTGTATAATTTTTTCTCTCAGTTATGTCTCAAGCCATTAAAGGGGCTAAAGAGGTTAGGAATGTTTTCTATTCTTTCAGAGGACCTGAGTTTGATTCTCAACACCTATAGTAGGTGTCTCGTAACCACCTGTAACTTCCACTTGAAGGGGTCTGATGTACTCTTCTGGCCTCCATAGGCACAGCACTCACATGAACATACCTCTACCCCACCATCTACACACAGACACATAATTAAAAATAATTTTAAAATGTGTTACTAAACCACACTATAAACTTTTAACTTACTATACTTTGTATAGATAAATATTTAATTAATTTAATTTTATTTCAGAATCTTGCAAGGAAACCAGATTAAGTCAATTACACAGAAAGCATTCATTGGTCTTGAATCCCTTGAGTATTTGTAAGTATTTCATATATATTTCCTCACTGCAGAATCTTTGTACTGGGTGTGGTGCCTGCCTTTAATCTCAGACCTCAAGAGACAGAGGCAGGCAAATTTTCCTGAGTTTGAGGTCAGCCTGGTCTACATAGCAAGTTTAAAGGCAGGCAGGGTTGCATACTGAGATTGCCCCAAAACAAAACAATGTTTGCTGTCCCCGGGAGGTATATGAACAATAAAGCATGTATGTAGCTTACTATAGAGATGGCTACTGATTTTGCATTTCTCTTGATTTCAGAGATTTGAACAACAATGCTATAATGTCTATCCAAGAAAATGCTTTTTCTCAGACTCATTTAAAGGAACTGTAAGTAATTTTTTTCTCTTTTAATTATTAGTGCTTTTTGTATGTAAAGTACATTTGTGTGCTTGGTGGAGACAGAGGCCAGGAGAGGTCATCAGATCCTCTGGAACTGGAGTTACAGATGATTGTGAACTGCCATGTGGGTGCTGGGAATTGAACCTGGGTCTTCAGGTAGAGCAGACAATGTTCTTAATCACTGAGCCATCTCTGTAGCTCTTCATTGTCTGTAAAGAAAGACGGTGACTCAGGGCTCGAATGTGTACTTTACTTTCTGGACTATCAGAAACATGTGTCTCCAGTTCTTACCTTGTGATTGGTTAAGGTGGGTAGCAGTGGATCATGTTCTTTTATTTTGTGAAGTTTCTCTACAATTTTGAGTTATTAATTTTAATGTATTTAAACTACTAAAATGTTCAACAATTTAAATATTTCAGTAGAAAAAGATAGTGTTTTATACTTTTTTTCACACATATTTTTAAAGTAAAATTTTAAATGTGTAATGTTTTGCTTACATGTATATCTGTGTACCATGTATGCTTCTGGTGCCTGTGGAGTCCAGAAGAAGGCGTCAGATCATCTGGAATTGATGTTACAGACAGTTGTGAGCTGCCTTGTGGGTGCTGGGAACTGAACTCAGGTTCTGAAAGAGCAGTGCTTTTAGCCACTGAGCCATTTCTTCAACAATGCCTTAAAAATGATTTTATGTGTAAGTGCACCATGTACATGCTTGTATGAGTTCAAGGAGGTCAGTCCTGCTGTCCTGGAACTCACTCTGTAGACCAGGCTGGCTCCAAACTCACAGAGACCCACCTGCCTCTGCCTGCCGAGTGCTGGGATTAAAGGTGTGCGCCACCACTGCCTGGCACGATAAGAATTCTTAACTGCTAAGTCATCTCTCCCTATTATTATTAGTTTAGAGATTTTTCTGAGTTAAGGGAGTTAGCTGGGAATTGTTATTAATTTAAACTGTGGTGTTGGAAAATCAGTATTTTAAACGCTTTGACTAGCGGCTACTCAAAGGGCATGCAATAGAATCAGTTCGTGACAAGTCAGTGATTAAAAATGAAGAGAAAGCTTGTAGAAATTTATATAACAATTTGATATAATTATGACATCTTTGTAGTTTTTAGTAGTTTATAAAAGACTTAGTTTTGGGACAGTGACATGGTTCAATGGATAATGGTGCCTGCCTTCAAGCCTTCAATCTTGAGTTTGATCCCAGGACCCACATGATGGAAGATCTGACTCCTAAAAGTTGCCCTCTGACTTCCACATAAGTGTATGACATGTTGCTAGACATGATAGCACACACCTGTAATCCCAGTGCTGGGGCAGCAGAAGCAGGCAAGATCCCTATGAGTTTCACATCAGTTCTACATAGTGTGTTCCAGGACAGTCAGGATTATGTAGAGAGACCCTGTTGTTGTCCACCATGCCCCCCAAAAGAATGTGGCATATGTGTATGCTACTCCTCCACAACATCTGTGCACACATACATGGTAGATAAAAATCTAAACAAATTTATATTAAAGTACTGATTTGTAATAGGTTGGAAAATGTAAAAACTGGTTCTTACCACAGATTGAGATTTACTCCAGTCCTTATAACTTGTCACAGTAGACAAACTGCTTAGCTGGAGACTCACTCTTTGTTGTCAGAGTGGGAGGAGTGGTTCCCTAGGATCATGTGGAGATACAGTGAAATAGCGGTTTAAAGACATGTTTGTTCTTCATCCTTTGTATACTCGATTGGATTATGCTCTCTCTTTCTAGCTCTTTATAGATAATTTATTTATTTTTATTTTATGTACATTAGTGTTTTGCTACATATGTGTCTCTGTGAGGGTACCTGATCCCCTAGGCTAAATAGGTAGGGATTGTTTTAGTTTAATGTGATCTTGTGTAGTCTAATGTTCAAACTTTGCCTTATTTTTGACAAATGTCTCAAAATAAATTTTATATAAAGTCTACTTTCTGACTTCAGGTTCACTTTGGGATTGCTTAGCTAACCCTTTGAAATTTTTTTTTCTTTTGTGGTGCTAGATTCAAACCCAGAGCCAAGCAAGTGCTCTAACACTGATCTATCCCTAGCCCTTATGACTTTATAAAAAATTTTTGTATATTGTATACTTGGTGTGTAGGATGGGGAGAGGCTTGTATGCGGTAGTGTATGTGTAGAGGTCTGAGGCAACTTTGTAGATTCTTTTCTCCTCCTACCTTTATATATGGGTTCTGGTGTCAAACTCAGGTCACCAGGCTTTCATGGCAACTCTCTTTATCTACTTAATCATTGTGACAGCTACCTGAGCCTCCCCAACCCCTTTTTTATTTCAGTTATGGAGGCTGGGAAGTCCAAAATTAAGACACCAGAAGATTATGCCACTGTATCAGTTCTCTTCCTGGCTTGCAGATGGCCTCTTTCCCCTCATCCTCAGATGGCAGAGAGTGTGGGCATGCACTCAAAACAGCAAGAATGAGCAAGAGTAAGCCTCTTATGCTCTGAGCCCTATTTGTTCACTTGTTTATTTTTTGAAACAGGCTTTCACTCTTTAGGGGTCCCGCATCTTGCTTTGTAGACAGTCTGGCCTTGAACTGACAGAGATCTCCTTGCCTCTGCCTCCCAAGTGCTGAGATTAAAGATATGTGCCAACACGACCCTGCCTGAGCCCTTTTTATGTGGGACCTCTGTCTTATGGTTTCTGTTACTGTAAAGAAACACCGTGACATGGCAACTCTTATAAAGGAAAACATTTAATTGGGGCTGCCTTACAGTTTCAGAGATTCAGTGTATTATCATGGCAGGACTTTGTACCATGCAGGCAGACATGGTGCTGGAGAAGGAGCTTAGAGTTCTACATCAAGAGCCACAGGCAGCAGAAGGAGACTGTCCCACTAGTTTGAGCATGTAAGACTTCAAAGCCCGCCTCTACAGTGACACTTCAGCAAGGCCACATCTACTCCAACAAGGCCAAACTTCCTAATAGTGCCACTCACTATGAGCTGAGCATTCAAACACATGAGTTTATGAGGGTCATCGCTATTCAAACCACCATTATGTTGACCTGGCTGGCTTTGAATTCTTGGATTTAAATGATCCTCTTGCATCAGCCTCCCAAGTAGCATGTTATAGCACCCAACTCTTCCTGAAAAATCTTTATCTCTTTGCCTTATGAAAAGGGAAGCATTAAGCTAATTTATGTGGTATGTTACCTGGGAAACGTCAATTAAATGATACTAAACATTCTGTTGGTTAAAATACTTTGGAAGTTTTTTCAAGTTCTTAGAAATTTGTTCATAGTTCTTGCTATCTGCTATAGTGTTAGCAATCATAATTTTGAAATTTTGTTTGCCACAGGAATAACTGCATAATAAAACGATCTCTTAACCACATCTTCCCATGAACCTCTTTGAAGCTGCAGCACGTTTGTATTATATTGTTTTTAGAAACTTTCAGGAACACATCAGAGTAAAATATAATCATCTGTGATGACAAAGATTCGTGGAGAAGGTTAGATAAGTATAGATTTCTGATAACGTATGATAACCACATGGGTAATTATACCATTGCTCTCAGAACTTGTAGAATTCTGATGAAGGAATTAATGGAATTATTATTCTAAGTTAAAGCAAGAATTAACTCTTGGGGACTGGAGAGATGGCTCAGTGGTTAAGAACCCCATCTGCTCTTCCAGAGGACCCTGCTTCACTTTCTAGCGCCCATATGGTAATTGACAGCGGTCTATAACTGTAGTCCTAGGGAATCCCATGCCCTTTTCTGACCTCTGAGGGTACCATGCATGCATTTGGTACATAGACATATATGTAGACAAAATACCCAAACACACACACAAAAATAAAATACTTTAAAAATTAATTATGGGGCTTGAGCTTAATGGCGCCTCTCTTCAATCCCAACACTAAAGAGGGGGAGACAGTTGGATCTCTGAGTTCCAGGACAGCCTGGTCTACATAGTGAATTCTAGGTCAGTCAGGGCTACTTAGTAAGACTATTCATCAGTAATAATAGTAATAGTAATAATAATAATCATGATGATGATGAATGAACCAGTCAAGTTGCTGGTTCTTTAATGTTCTCTTTCTAGATTTAAGGAACTCATTTCTCTTTTTTCTTAAGCTTTCTATGACTTGGAACAACTTGGCAAACTATTTCATTAGGGGGGATATGATTGCTTTCCTCTATTTATAGAGCTTTCCAGAATTCAGAAACTTAGTGGGTATCATTATTTTCATGACAATATAGTTGTTATGTAAAGTGAGTTGGATTGTATTCCCATTTAACAGTACACAATTGAAGAGTTTGACTAGAATGTCATATTTGAGTGACATTAAGTCAGGTATGACTAGAGAGTTTTAAGGAACTCAGGTTGACCTTAAGACACCAATGTTTATAAAGCTCCTGGAAAAACTTAAAAATTTTTCCTTGTAAGTAAGCATGTTCTGGCTGTCCCACAAACTTCTGAGTATTTTGGGAACCTCTAGGACAGAAGAATTATCTGAAGGTAAATCCTGGAGGTTATGTCTAGTGACCAGTTCCTGACTTGGCTTCCTAACCTGCTAAGAAGCTTTGAAAAGTTCCAGCAAAGCTAATTTAAAAAGGCCTCTGTGGTCAAGCACTGTTCTCACTGCACTATAAATAATGAGCCAAAGCTAATGAGAACTGACTTTATTTTTAAGCAAGAGTAAAGGGGAAGGAGTGGCTGTAGAGGGAGAATTGTTTCATGGAAAGTTAGAGTGTGCCCTTTGTGGTTTCTGTAGTGCAGATTTGTCAGTCTGTACCGAGTTCTTGGTCCTCTAGTTGCTCTCATACCTCTCGCCAGCTTTCTGAGATAATGTTTCCATTTGTTCTCCAGCGTCCTGACTTGGTACATAATAAAACAACCTTTCCCCAAAGTTGTTAGTTGCAGCAGGAGACATGCTGTAATCATAATCAGTCTTGTATAGCCTACCTTCCTGCGTGTTGCTGGGTGGAAACTGGGGAAATCTGACAGTTGCCAAGATTCATCCTAACTGAAGATGCTTTGAGACCAACATCTAAGAATCTTTGTAGTTAATCTTTTGTTGTTGTTTGTAGCATGAGGGGCCGGCTTGTTGAGGTATCTGTCCCACCCGGTACCCCACAACCAGCAAGCCCCAAAGAAAATCATACACAGGACTCCATAAGATTATAAACTGATTAACCCTTAGCGCTGGCTACTTACTAGCTCTTATAACTTATGTTAGCCCATTATCCTTATCTACGTTAGGACATGGCTCAGTACCTTTTCCAGCGGGGCAGCTTACATCTTTCCTCTCTGGTGGTCTGGGCAGAACTGGCAGAGGAACCTCCCTGCTTCCCAGAATTCTCCTGTTCTCATTGCATCACCTCTACTTCCTGTCTGTTTTTCCCGCCTATACTTCCTGCCTGGCCAATCAGCATTTTATTAAAATACATGATTGACAGAATACAGATAATTCTCCTGCACCATTTCCTTTTTTTTTTTAAAACAAAGGAAAATACCCATAGTCCATTTGTTGGGAATGTGGGCGTAGTATTTCAGGCTACTTCCTGCTGGTTGGGGGTGCTGATGATCTTATGGGGACCTAAAGAAAATTTAGACTTATAATCAAGTCATGACTGAAGTATCCTGGGAGTCTCGATCATCTCAGGTGACAGTCTTGAATCTGTTCTGGATGTAGAATTCAGACATCTGGGCCATCTGTTCCTGTCGGAGATTTCTCAGGTGGTCTTCCTTGATCATACTGGATTTTTCTTAACTCAGAATGAATCCACAACCTCTCATTTTCTGTGGAAACAAAAGCAAAATCTCTTCTCCAAAGTAACATACCTTTTGACTTCAGTTTTGAAGCCAAGGTATTTTTAAAATTCCTATCTTGGGTTAGTTCAGCAGCATTTATAAACAACAGTCCTTTAGCAGCTGTTGCTCCTTCCTCAGCATTCAAACAATTCAAAGAGAGCATAATAGCATACAGTATCAAGATTCTCTGTGCGTTTTCCATATTTATGCGGCTTTATTTTAACCTCTATTTCTTTTATTTTTTACTTTTACTTTTAGAGACAGGATCTCTGTATATTTTTGTCCTGGAATAACTCTGTAGACCAGGCTGTCCTTGAACTCACAGAGCTCCACTTGTCTCTGCCTCCCAAGTGCTGGGATTAACCTTGAACTCTCAGAGATCTGTCTGTCTCTGCCTCCCAGGCATTGGGATTGAAGGTGTATGCTACCACACCTTGAAGTCACAGAGGTCTATCTACCTCTACCCCTTGAAGTCACAGAGGTCAATCTACCTCTACCCCTTGAAGTCACAGAGGTCAATATGCCTCTGCCTCCCAGGCATTGGGATTAAAGGTGTGTACCACCACACCCAACTACTCCCTTTTTTTCTTTTTTTTTTTACTTCTAAGAACTTTAACCTTTAGCCTGCATATATTTTCAATACATAGTAAACCATTTAGAGGTTTTCTTCCTCTTTGAATCTCTCCTCACTGTATATCTCTCTTTTTCTGACCACATGAGCCTTAAATTTACTAAGCAATATGGAGAGCTGTGGCTTTGAAGGCTAGATCCAGCCCATTCCTTAGCTCTCCAGCCTCATTGTGGAGGAACCATCAGAGCCATTTTTATGGTCACAACTCTACAGTGTTTCAAGGTCTCTGTCAGCAAGCAAGCTGCAGCATTCTGCTCACAGACCACACTCAGTCGGACTGCCTGCCTGCAAGAGTTGTTTTTGTTTGTTGAGACAGGGTTTCTCTGTGTAGCCCTGGCTGTCCTGGAACTCACTAGTAGACTAGGCTGGCCTTGAACTCAAAGATCTACCTGCCTCTGCCTTTCACATAATTAAAGGTGTGGCCACCATGCTACTCTTTTCTGGACTTAGAAACTTGAGTTTACAGTTTGTTTTAACCACTGAACCTTGTTTTTATTTTCATAGAAATGTGCCCCCCCCATTAAGTATATTAAGGACTTACACCATCTAGTGATATTCTTATTTTTTTATTTATTTTTTTTTTTTGCTAGTCTTGCACTTTATTGCCTTAACCACGTCAGGTCTTGACTGCATACTTGTGGAGTGGGTGCAGCTCCTTCTGTGCTTGATAGATGGCACATAGCTCTTGTCTGCTTGGATCACAGGTCCAGGGGCTTATATTTCTTGTCCTTATAGAATCTCCTGAGGTTTTCTTTTTAAGTCTGATTAATGGCAGCGAGGACACGGGCAGTGTATTTTTGGGCTGCTCATATCTAGGAGACCTGGAAGGGAGATGGGAGATGTCACCTTTTTAGTTATACAAAGCTGGGACAGCTCCATCTTCAGATCCTAAACTACTACCTACACTAGGCACTGCACTATAAATCTGCTAAGTCTTGATTTCTGTGTCTAAAAAATAGGGCAGACAATGCTTACGTGGTTATATTACCTGTTTCCCTTTAAAACAAGAAAAGAAAACCTTTAGCAGGCAAGGGTAGTGACTCAGGTCTATAATCCTAACAATTAGGAAGCTGAGGCATGAGGACATCCTCAATTCAAGTATAGTTTTCTTCACTTCTGTTTTTTTTTTTTTTTTTTTGCTTTCTATCCCTTGCACACCTACTCTGCCTACAAGAGCCTAACAGTGTGTGCACGCACACACACACAGAGTTTTCCCTGAAGTGTGTGAATACAATATAATAAAATATTAGCAAAAAGTATCTTGTAATTTATAAGTAACTCTCTCATGAACATCACAATACGTAGGCAAAGCGTGAGGAGGAATGCCAAAAAGCATAGAAAATTTTTATTTATTTATTATGTATACAGTATTCTGTATGCATGTATGCCTGCGAGCCAGAAGAGGGCACCAGATCTCATTACAGATGGTTGTGAGCCACCATGTGGTTGCTGGGAATTGAACTCAGGACCTTTGGAAGAGCAGGCAGTGCTCTTAACCTCTGAGCCATCTCTCCAGCTCCTAGAAATTTTTATAAATTTATTTAAAATTTTATTTAAAATTTAATAAATTTTAAAATATTTTTAAGCAGACTTAAAAATATTTTAAGGGCTGGATAGGTGGTTTAAAGAGGTAAAAAACAGTTTCTAGGCTCCCAGGCTGATGACCTGAGTTGGATTCCTGGGTCAGTGGAAGGAGTGACCCTCCATATATGTACTGTGGCATGATCCCCCTTCCCACCAAGTTAACAGAGCATTTAAATTATACAAAGAATAAGTTGTAGTGTTCCCCAAATTGTTTGCTTTCTCTGCCAAGAGATCATGGAGAGAAAAACATTGATTTCTCAAAGGGATCTGTTTTATAGACATTTTTTAAAAAGTGGCTCTTACTCTGAATTGAAGTATATTGCCAGAGGGCTAAAGTGCTTTCAGTCTTGATGAAATAATTTGAAAATAGCAATATACTTCCCACATAAAGCTCTTTCAGTGCTTCAAAATCTGTGACTAGCCTTGCCCACAATGTTTCAAGAATGTAAATGTCAGGAACGTAAGCCCGGTACATGACTATCCACACACCTTTCACCTGAATATACTTGTTGTTAACCTTCTGACAGACTTACCCAATTCCTTTCATTCTTTTCTCACCTTCACCTTTGCTTCCCTATACATATATAGTTTTTATGTATACATTGTACATATAGAAGTCTTGTTTTCAGACCATCTAAAAATACTAAAGACATCAAGGGACTGGAGAGTTGGCTTGGCTGTGAAGAACACTTGGTGGATTTGCAGGGAATCCAGGTTTGGTTCTCAACACCCACATGATAGCTCACAACCATTTGTTTTTCCAGTTTGAGGGGATCTGATTACTTCAAATGTCCTCAGACACCAAGCATATACACATAGTACATATACACGCAGGAAAAACATTCAACACACATTAAAATAAAAAATTGTAGATATTATGATACTTTATGTCTGAATAGCTTGGCATGTATTTCCTAAAACCAGGAACATTTTTTACATAGCTGCAATGTCATTTTCATACTCAATGAAATTAACATTTACAAAATTATATCTAGAAGATTGCTTATCTTCAAATTTTTCCAATATCAGAAATATCACCCTGGCTGGAGATGTAGCTTAGTTGGTAAAGTGCTTTTCTAGCATGCCTAAGAAACTCTAGGTTTAGTTCCCAGTTAAACCAGATATGGTGTTGCACACCCCTAAATCCTAGCATTTGGGAGGTGGAAGCAAAAGGACTGGAAGTTAAAGGTCATCCCTGTGTACAGTGAGCTCAAAACCATCCCATAATATATGAGTTCCCATCTCCAGCAAACAAACCAAACACACAGAAGTATATACACATGCATATAATATATACACATGTATATCCCTCCCTGTTTAGAACCCCTACTCTCAAACAAGAATCATGTGTCGGTAGGTGTTGTTGTATATTTCTGAGATTCTAAGTTCGAGGCCAGCCTGGGTAGCATAGTAACTCTTGTCTCATAACAAACATGCATGCATGAAATGAGTCTTTACTTGTCTTTAATCTAAAATGATTCTCTTGTCCTTCAATCTTTTTTGATGTATTTCATAACACTGACATATAATTAAGGCTAACTATCTGTTTTTTACACTTAGGTGAACTTTTTTGACAAGCAAATACATAAATGTGTAGCAAAGTTATACTGAAGAAACTACAGTAAAGCTAAAATGAAAAGTTCTTTTCCTTGTTTTCTTTCTGCAGTGTTCTGAACACAAACAGTTTGCTCTGCGATTGTCATTTGAAGTGGCTCCTTCAGTGGCTGGTGGATAACAACTTTCACCATTCTGTGAATGTAAGCTGTGCGCATCCTGAGTGGTTAGCAGGGCAAAGCATCCTGAATGTGGACCTGAAAGATTTTGTCTGTGGTTTGTATTTCTGTTTCCAAGTTTTTAAATTTCTCTTAACTATTGTAACAACAAAATAAAGGAGATGAACAAAAACAAAACAAACAAACAAAGAAAACCCCACCCCAAATGGCTTTCGACAGCCCATCTTATGTCCTTGTGGTGTTGCTCTCTGTCTTTTGCAAACACAGGATATATTTTGTGTTCTTTGATTTAGTGTTTCACAAATGGTGTTTTCCTCACTCTTCTTGTTTGTGTTTATAACGCAAGGACCCTCAGTGCTCCCTTCTCATTGGCTTTATTTGAGAGGAGTTGTTAACTTGAGGGTAAGACTTCAGGATTTTTTAATTATTAACTTTAGGATTAACTTTAGAAGTAAGACTTCAGAATCATTATGTATTTTTTTTCATGTGAAGACTTTTAGTAGATTTTGAAAAGAACCACCAAGACAAATTTTGAAAATGCATTAGTTTATGTGGTCATCAGCAATGTTATAATTTTAAGTGTATAACAGTATGTGTTTATAAGCACCAATTTCATTTTTTTGATGCAGTTTTTTGGTAAAAGGACAGACAATTTGGGATAGTCAGTTCTCTCTTTCCCCTATGGGAGTGTTCAGGGATCATGTCATTAGGCTTGATGGCAAACTCTTTTACTCATTGAGGCATTTCACTGGCCCAAATGCAATTTCTTTTCTTTTTTTAAATTCATCTATATTTTATGTATGTAGGTGTTTTGCCTGCATGCATGTCTGTGCATTATATGTGTGCAGTACCCAGGAGGCCATAAGAGGACATTACATCCTCTAGAACTGGAGTTGTAGAAGGTTAGCTCTGATGTGCTAGGAGCTGAACCTGGGTCCTTTGCAAGAATACCTGGTATTCTTAACTACTCTTGTTAACTGCTCTTGAGCCCCTTTATGCAATTTCTTAGGGCTCAAAGTGACAGCATATCTTTGAGACAGTAGAGACAGTCATAGACAGTATGTTCAGGCAGTATGTCCTGAATATAACATTTATGATTTCAAGAATAAATTTTTATTTTTTTCCTCAACTTGGAAAGTTTTTTTTTAATAATTGAATCTTCTTTACAATGGATTGAATTCTGCTTACACTATCATACAGTACCCTTTGAATTTTACTTAGTTTTAAATGTAAGGCATACTTTATGTTTTTGAGACAGAGTTTCACTGTGTAGCCCTGTCTGGTCTCGAATTCACTATGCAGACCAGACCAGCTTGGCCTGGAACTTAGACATATGCCTGCCTCTGCTTCACAAGGGCTGAGATTAATAGTGTGTACCACCACTCTGCCTCATATGATACGTTTTATACTATTCCACTTACACCTTGAAGGCGTGATGGAATGTTACTTAGTAACGATACTGGTTCAGGATTTCTGTAGCAGCTTCTCTGAATCCATAATGTTGTTATTTATGAATACATAGTGCACTCACCAGTCCTAAACCAGTTTTCACTTGTGCATTTATCCTGTTTGAATTCTTCACTATTTCATGTTGAAGCTATGTGCAAAGTACTTTCAAGTCATGTATTTACTAGTAGTTTCCATGAAAAAGAGTAAGTTTCTATTCCTATTTTCTGTATTATACAGAAATGATAATGGTTATCATTGGTTATCATAAACATTTTGTATATGTATCATTATATATATATGGAACATAAATATATTGTGTGTATATATATACATGGTATGGTAAAATTAGAATTTACCTTGAAATTCTTATATAAGGTTTTTCTCCACATCTGTCCCTACCCATTGGTAATGCTTAGGAAATGGATAGTAAGCATCTAAGAGTCCTGAGGGATGGTAGAAAGAGTACTGGATGCTGACATCCAGAACCTGGGTTCCAGCCCACCTTCTGTCACTGCCTAATGCCTTTGAATAAACTGTTTAACTGGAGTTTACTCTTCTCACCTTTAAATAAGGGATTAGATAGGATTGAAGAGATGGCTCAGCAGTTAAGAGCACTGACTACTCTTCCTGAGGACCCAGGTTCAATTCCCAGCACCTACCATGGCAGTTCACAACTGATTATAACTCCAAGATATGACACCTTCACACAGATACACAGGCAGGCAAAGTACCAATGCAAACAAAATAAAAATAAATAAATTATAGTTTCAGGACAGGCTTCAAAGCTACAGAGAAACCCTGTCTTGAAAAATCAAAATGAAATATGTAAATAAATAAATTATTGAAAACAAAGCAAATAAAAAACCAATAGCAAGGGATTTAAGCTCTTAATCTCCTTCAATTTTAACCCTTGTGAATGAAACTTATAGTTTTACAGTTTTTGTTTTAAAATTGAATCTGAAGTAAAAATAACTGACTTGGCCACTTGCATTTATTCCCTTTAGATGATTTTCTGAAGCCGCAGATGAGGACACATCCTGAAAGCACAGTTGCTTTGCGAGGTGCTAATGTGACTCTGACATGCACTGCGGTGAGCAGCAGTGATTCGCCCATGTCTACTGTATGGCGCAAGGACAGTGAAATCCTCTACGACGTGGATATCGAGAATTTTGTTCGCTATCGGCAGCAGGCTGGAGAAGCTCTGGAATATACTAGTGTCCTGCACCTCTTCAACGTGAACTTCACAGATGAAGGGAAATACCAGTGTATTGTCACTAATCACTTTGGCTCTAATTATTCACAGAAAGCCAAACTGACTGTGAATGGTAAGGAATTGTGCTACTTGACTTTTGAAATGCTTTCTTTTTTACTTATTTGTATATTTCTGGAATATATGCTATGACTGTCTGGCCTGTCTGGCCATGCTGATGGGCAAATATACTTTGAAGTACTTCTTACATCTAAATTATAAGTCACTTGACCAAGAAAATTAGGTCATACCACATTTGGAGGGAACTCTTAGTGTTTTCTCTTGGTTGTGGCATATGGAAGGGGTGGACTTTTGGGTTACCCCCCTACCCACTGTCCTGCACTCTTTGCCCCGGGAGATACTTTACTCCTATTTCTGTTTCTCCTGAAGACATTCTTTTCATGGCCTTCATTTTCTTTCCAAAACCACAGTTCTTTGAAAACCATGAATTTTTTTCTAATATGCTGTGTCCTCTATACTCGAGAGTGTTTAGGACATCTCCAAATCCAGTGGTCTCCATAGTTCTCCAATATGGCCTGAATCATTTTGAAAATAAAGCTCTCCTAGTGGTTATAAGAAAAGTTTTCCAAAGCAACTTGGTTTATTGTCTGTGAGACTGAGTAACTACAGCATTTTAGGCTGTGAGCAACCAAAAGATGTACTTGAGTCCTATTCCTGCTTCTTTTTTAAATTTCTAGCTTTTTAAAAAAGATTTTATTATTTTATGTGTATGAGTAGTTTGCCTTCATGTATGTCTGTACCACATGCATACCTGATGGCCATGAAGGCCTGAAGAGAGCATTGGATCTCCTGAGACTAAAGTAACGGACAGTTGTGAACTGCCATGTGGGTGCTGGGAATTGAACTCGAGTCCTACAAGTGCTCTTAACTACTGAGCTAACTCTCCAGCTCCGAACCCTGCTCCAGTGTTTCTTAAATGAGATTTTTAAAAATATTTATTTATTATGTATACAGTGTTCTGTCTGTATGTCTGTCTGCAGGCCAGAAGACGGTACCATATCTTATTATGGATGGTTGTGAGTCACCATATGGTTCCTGGGAATTGAACTCAGGGCTTCTGGAAGAGCAGAACTGCTGAGCCATCTCTCCAGCCCCCTTAAGTTAGATTTTTAAAAGCATAATTAAAATCAACCAAACAAACAAAAAACCCCATGGTTCTCTTGACACCTGTTGATATTAGATTGGGAAGTCTCATTTAACTTTCTAAGTGAAAGAGTAATATTAAATATCAAGTTCTAAACTGGCGTTTGGGAAAGATTTTGACTTTCTGACTTCCTTCTCATGGTGTAGTCCCTAGGCGTGGTGTGTACTCTAGAAGTGCTGTGCTGCTGTGCTTCACACACTCAGTGCTGGTGAGAAAGATGCCTTTAGAAGTTGGGCTCATTGTCAGTCCAGAGAATATGTTTTCTCAAAGAAATGAAGCATTTTACATCAGAATTTCACCTGTTAGATTATTAGATTTGTGTGCTTGTGCGTGTTTTCCTTTTGCCTACTTTCTCTGCAATTTTCTTTGAACAGAGATGCCGTCTTTTCTAAAAACACCTATGGATCTAACTATTCGCACTGGTGCCATGGCCAGATTAGAATGTGCTGCAGAAGGGCACCCTGCACCTCAGATTTCCTGGCAGAAAGACGGTGGCACTGACTTCCCTGCGGCCCGAGAAAGGCGAATGCATGTCATGCCTGAGGATGATGTCTTCTTCATTGCCAATGTGAAGATAGAAGACATGGGGGTCTACAGCTGCATGGCACAGAATATCGCAGGCGGCCTCTCAGCGAATGCCTCCCTCACTGTGCTAGGTGTGTTCCTTTGTCAGGACCACTGCTTTACTGCTTGGAGGTTTTGATGTGTTTGTGTTTTTTTTTTTTTTTAACTTTTTGTTGTTCTTGTATTTTGTTTTTGTTTTTGATTTTTTGAGACAGGGTTTCTCTGTGTAGCCTTGATAGTCCTGGAACATACTCTGTAGACCAGGCTGATCAAAGAGCTCTGCTTCCTCCTACTTCCTAAGTGCTGGGACTAATGGTATACACCAATACTACCTGGCTAAAACATGTTTTTTTTATGTATGCCTTGAATCCAAGGCAGTTCAGGTCTCTGTTTTCTTAGATACAAAGTTTTGTGGGGTTATCTCTTCCTCCTTCTTCTCCACTACCCCCGTAGCCCAGGAGAACTCTATAATCCCTGAGAACTCACTATGTGTTACAGGTGAGCTACTCTGATCTGATTGTCAAAAACCTTTAAAAGAAGTGTGCTAACTTGAGGGCTGAGGCAGAAGGATCAAGAGCTTGGTTATGTTGATAACATGCCTCAAAACCAGTAGACATCTCCAGCACTAATGGCTAGTAGTACTGGCTTGTGCGTGCTAGCTGTACTGAGCTAGTATCCCAATCCTGCTTTTCTTTCTCTTTGAGATAGGTCTTGCTAATTTGCTGAAATGGATGTAAACTTATAATCCTTTTGCTTTGGCCTCTTGAGTAGAGGGTTTTCAGCCATGCATCATCATAATCAGTTCATAATTACATTTTTTTCTTTTTTGAGGCTTTTGTGTTTCTGAAACATTAACTGTTAATCTTCATAAAACCACGCATTTCATCATACTCTTAATAGTCTTAGGGTATTAATTTCCTAATTTAGTATTTTTAATTTCCTATTAGAGACACCCTCGTTTGTTAGACCTCTGGAGGACAAGACCGTCACTCGAGGTGAAACAGCAGTATTGCAGTGCATAGCTGGAGGGAGTCCTGCTCCTCGCCTCAATTGGACCAAAGATGATGGGCCGCTCTTAGTAACAGAACGACACTTCTTTGCTGCAGCCAATCAGCTTCTCATCATTGTAGATGCTGGGCTAGAAGATGCTGGAAAATATACCTGCATTATGTCTAATACTCTTGGAACAGAACGAGGACATATTTACTTAAATGTCATTTCATCCCCCAATTGTGACTCTTCTCAGAATAGCATTGGACATGAGGATGATGGTTGGACTACAGTTGGCATTGTCATCATTGTTGTGGTCTGCTGTGTTGTAGGCACTTCTTTGATCTGGGTCATTGTTATTTACCATATGAGAAGGAAAAATGAAGACTACAGTATCACAAATACAGGTAAGTGGCACCCAGATGACACATGGCGTATTCTTAGGAATGTAGGATTTAGTCAAAAATAAAAAAGCTGAGTACTGTGATTGATTACTTGCTAAGAGATGTAAGGAGCTTTTTCTGATGAAAATGACCTATCTGGGGAAAAATTTGTAAGAATTTGTATATACTATATATACTTCCCCCTAAATTTAGCTCTTAAAATTGTATTACAGGTATGTTTTCCTTGTTTTTGTGGGGTTTTGTTGTTTTGGTCTTTTGATTTTTTTTGAGACAGGTTTTCTTTGTGTATCCTGGCTACCAGCACTTGTTCTCTAGACCAGGTTGGCCTCAAACTCAGAGATCTACTAGTCTCTGCCTCCAGAGTGCTGGGATTGAAGGCCTACACCACCATGCCCAGTTTGTTTTTTTCTTTTGAGAGGATCTCAGTGTATGGCCCTGGCTGACCTGGAACTCACAGACTGACCTTGAGTTTGCAGTGATCCTCTGCCTCCACCTCCGGTGTGCTGGCATGGCATTAGGGTGTGGTGAACTATGCCTAGCTGTGATATATATAGTGCTTTCTATAGAGTCTAAGGTTCATTTCCACCATAGTTTGTTTTAGGGGAGATTTGAACCCTTGTGTGTGACTAGGTCTTTTACCCCACTCACCCCAGGGTCTGCTAGAGAAGTGAGCCATGTAGAGAGATGGTTAAAGTGTAGCTATAGATAAGATTTTAATGTTTAGTTTTTTGTTTTTTGTTTTTCCTTTTGATAACTGCTCACCCCTAGCCTCCTGCTGGTAATTATGGGAGTGAACCCACAGCCTGTACATGTTAGGCAAACCAAGTCATACTTCTAAAATGAAACTCTGAGAAGAACATTAGTTTAAAAAAAGTTACGCTAAGGGAAGTATGAAGAGATATTGGGGTCCCAAGTCCATACCGTTTTCTAGGACAGTGTCAAAGTGGAACATATTTATAAAATTGCCTTCTGAATATTGACTTCAACTGCCTGAGTTTGAGAGTTACAGATGTCTCTTTACAGAGGAGCTTAATTTGCCTGCAGACATTCCCAGCTATTTGTCTTCCCAAGGAACACTGTCTGAACCACAGGAAGGCTACAGCAACTCTGAGGCAGGCAGTCATCAGCAACTTATGCCTCCTGCCAACGGATACACACACAAAGGCACTGACGGTAGGCACTTTACTGTTTGTAGTTACACTTTCAGCCTGTTCTAGTGGGTTTGTTGTTCACTGTATAGTTTTTCCATTAGCCTGAGGCAGTATTTTAAGATAAAATACTTAGAACATTTAACTTCATGCAAAATGGAATGAAAATTGACTATAAAGTCTTAACCAGAGGAGGCCATCTTAAAAATGCAACACGTTACCCTTAAACAGGAATTGAAGGACACAGCCGAGGCTCCTGTATATCTGTCATTACAAGAAGAGGATGTTTTAGAAACTCTTTTTAAGTGTTTCTTGCCCTTTTAGAGATGAGCATCCTTAGATAGCATCCAAAGGACATTAGGTTCTTCTCCTGACAGGTAGATACTGAGTAAAATACGACTCTCATCCTATAATGGAGAACTTCAGAGGGCTGTCCCCTAGTAAAGTGACAAGAGCCTCCTCTTGCCCTTCCCTCCTCACTTCTGTAGAAAGTGACAGACCCAGGAAGGTGATTTGACTAGGGATAGTGTGAGCAGTTACTGTTGGTTGACTCATAAAAGAAACGTGGGCTCAAGCCAAGCTGTATCTCAGAGCACAGGTTCAGGCCTGTCTTAAAGCCCCTGGTTGGAGTTTAGTCTCTCCAGGCTAGATAGAGACTTAGCATTAGAATTCCAGAGCATGGGCTCTGAAGCCAGAATGCGTAGGTGTACATTTCAGCTCTTCCTCCTGTCGTAACTCTCAGTAGTGGAGATGAGAACTGTGTCTGCTCCATGGGGATGCGGTAAGGAAAAAGTGAGTTAATTCGCGTAAGGACCTTGAAATTTCACCTGGTTTATAAAGTAAGTGTGCAGTAAACGTTACAACTGTAGAAGAAAGTTGATTATGACAAAACTACCTTAACAGAAAAGCATATGGGTTCTTTCCCATCTTATTAGGTGGCACTGGTACCCGAGTGATCTGTTCAGATTGCTATGACAATGCCAACATCTACTCGAGGACCCGAGAATACTGTCCATACACCTATATTGCTGAGGAGGATGTTCTGGATCAGACTCTGTCCAGCCTCATGGTTCAGATGCCCAAAGAGACATTTTTATCACATCCTCCCCAAGATGCTGCTACTCTGGAGAGTCTGATACCATCAACAGAGAGAGAGCTGTCTGCCTTTCCCACCAACCATGAGAGGATGACTGAGAAGCTTCCCTTCTCACAGATGAGCAGTGGTAATGGATGCTTTTGTTCCTTTTTTGAACTTTTGATTTCACTTCCACCTGATCTGCCCTTCGGTAGCCACTCATTTCACAGGAAACAAATTAGTATACTAGAATAATTGTCCTTGTTAGCTAGTGTCAACTAGAGGTCTTTACTTATCTTTATTTAAATAATGGAGATATGAGTGCTAAACATATGGCATGAAAAGCCTAACATGTTTTGTTTGCTCTTCTGTCAAGCAAGCAATCTCGGCCTCATATACCGAGCTTTTGTCTGCAAAACAGAGCTCTTTCTGGACCAATCAGCTGTCACATCCCCTCAGAGGAAGAACATGGGGAATGGGGCACAGGGCAGTAATTGTAGGATTGTTGTGAGGAAGGCCGCTTGTTGGTTTCCGGCTGCTCAGCCCCAAAATAATCACACAGAAACTATATTATTTAAATCACTGCTTGACCCATTAGCTCTAGCTTCTTATTGGCTAACTCTTATATATTAATTTAACCCATTTCTAGTAATCTGTATATCGCCATGAGACTGTGGCTTACTGGCGTCTGCCCAGCAGGGCTACAAGGCTTCTCTCTAACTCCTCTTCCTTTCTCCCAGCATTCAGTTTAATTTTCCCCACCTAGCTAAGTTCTGCCCTGCTATAGGTTCAAAGCAGTTTCTTTATTCATTAATGATAATCACAGCATACAGAGGGGAATCCCACGTCACAGGGTCACAGAGGAAGGCATAGTGTTGTTTCAGGGATGGTTCCAGCAGCAATAAGTGATCTATTATGAGACTGAAGATGTGTTCTGTAAGAGACCAGTTCTAAAGATGCCTCGTATAAGTCAGAGAAGAGCACTGTCCTTGAAGGTAGTCTCTTAGCTTTACATTTAGTGTCTTGAAAAAACTAAAGTTGCGATACCCCTTTTAACCTGTGGGAAATAACAAATGAGATTGCCTTGGATTATCTGTCCTTTGCCTAGGGTATGCTAATTAATTTGACACAGTATATGCTAGAATCCTTTAGCATTACCTCAGAGCTTGTTAGACATGCAGTTGTGTTCCCAGCTTAGACCTAGTGAATCTGAATCCAAATTGTAATAAGGTCCTAAGATTATTTGTATGGTTTTTTTGTTTTGTTTTGTTTTGTTTTGTTTTGTGGGGGGGGTGTTTTTGCGTGTGGTGGTATCATGCTCAAATTCAACACTAATTCCTCTGCCTCAACCTCCCAAGTGCTGAGGTAATAGGCAATAGGTGGGATTATGGGCATGAGCCACCTCATGAGATCTGTATGCTTTTATGTACACGCAGACACATGCTTGGGGAGACTAAAGGAGAATGTATAGAGTCATCCTCCATTGCTTTTGAGCCTGTTTTTTGAGAGTCACTTTGTAAACTTGAAGGTTGCTATTTAAACTAGGCTGACTAGACAGCAAGGTCCTGGGATCCTTTTGTCACTGCTCCTCAGGGCTGAAGTTATAGTCATACGTGACCACACCTGGCTTTTTATGAGTGCTGGGAATTTGAACTCAAGTCTTCTTGCTTTTACAGCAGGCCTTCTTACCATTGAGCCGTTTCCTCAGCCCTAACATGCATATTAAATCTTGAGAGTTCCTGCCCTCCCTTAACATTCTAGGTGAATTTTGCTTTCATTTGTGGATATTTGTTTCCAGAATGTTAGACTAGCTTTTTCCAAAATATGCCGTGTGTGTGTGTGTGTGTGTGTGTGTGTGTGTGTGTGTGATCAGTCTATCTCCATTTTTTTCAGTACTTTGACTACAGGCGTGCGTCACCACACCTGGTTCAAGAAATACACATTTTTGAAACCAAAGTACAGATAATCTGATTTACTGTAGTTACTTTAGTTTACTATTTGTTTCTTATTGTTTGATTTTTATATACTAGAAGTTGTAAGAGAATGGTTATTTTTACAACCTGTTTTCCTTTGGCTTTTTGAGACAGAATTTAGCTAAGGAGCCCTGGCTGGCATAGAACATGCAGTGTAGACCAGGCTAGTCTTAATTTTTGTAGCAATCTTGCCTTTGCTTCCTGAGTACTGGGGTTGGAGGTATACTGCCATACCTAACCTCTAACCTTTATATATTAGTCTTGTGTGTGTTGGGGGAATGAATGTGCCACAGAGGGCATAACAAGGTCAGAAGACAAATTTGAGGAGTCAGTTCTCTCCTCCCTTTATGTGGGTTCTGGGATTTGAACTCAAGTCCCTTGCTTCTGTGGTGAGCTTCTTTAACATCTGAGCCCCACACTCAGCTTTTAAAATGTCTTAAAGAGGGACTAGAACAGTGTTTCTTAACCTTCCTAATGCTGTGGCTCTTTAATTCAGTTTCTCGTGTTGTGGTGACCCCAACCATAAAATTATTATGTTCCTACTTCATAGTGTAATTTTGCTAATGCTATGAATCAAATTTAAATATCTGATATGCAGGATTTCTGACATGCAACCCCCAAAGGGGTTTCAACCCACAGGCTGAGATCCGCTGAACTAGGCATCACAGATGAAGTTCCAGGCCTTTCTGAAATCTGGACTTTTACTCTGCAGTAAAATGACACACTGATAACTCACTGATAGCTAGCCAGTTTTCATCCCAGTCTGATAAATATAGCTATTTATTGATAAATAAAATATTTATTATAACCTGATGAGAAGATGCCTTCCAGGCTTGCCTACAGCCCCACCTTAGGGAGATATTTTCTTAATTGAGATTCCCTCCAGTGACTTCAGCCTGTGTCAAGTTGACATGAAACTAGCCAACACAATTTTTAAGGCAGAAAAGCTACTAAATTAGCAGGTGAAGAAAAGAAGCATGATACTAGAAACTAGCTTTTTAGTTCTGTTGAATATAAAGGTTTGGTAATTTGTAGTTCCAGTTTTTATTTTGTTGTTGTTTTTAATGTTGGCATTGTGATCTTAGTGTCCTTATCAAGGATGCTGGGCATCTTTACTTCCTTTGAGGATTAGGTTAAAAGGGTATCAGGGGGCTGGGGATAAAGAGCATTTGCTGCTCTTACAGAGAACCTGGGTTTGATTCCCAGCTCTGACATGGCAGCTCACAACGTCTGTAACTTGAGTTCCAGGAGATCCAGTTCCCTTTTCTGTGATACGCAGTGATAGATGCAGGCAAAACACCCATACACATTTTAAAAAAGGATACCAAGAAATTAATTTTGAAATTCCTGCTGTCTCTGATGATATTTCTTGTCTCTTGTTCTCAGAAATATTCCAGCGGCCTCTGTGGAACATGAACAGAGAACCAGGCCTGCTTCCCTTTTGCCAACAGCCTGTCCTTGAGTCACCGCAGCTTCAGCGACATGAGGGCCTGGCAGAGAGGGATCCAAACTGCTCTTCACCTGTGTCCTGCCACAGGTTACATGACCACACTTTTGATTTCAGCAGGACTCGGAACATTCAAGATGGTAGTGAGGGCACATGAAGCCCGTCCACGAGGAAGTCTGAGCAGAGACTCAAGTTGGTCATTTACTACCTCAGAGTTGAGAAGAACCCCCAAAGTCAGCGTTTGCATTACTCTTTGCTTCGAATTCTATCTGGCCACACCAGAGTGGCCTGATGTTTGGCCTTACACCTGGCGAAGAAAAGGTAGTGGTGACTGGCAGAAATGTGCTACGGAAATGTGTACCACGTTAAGAGTACACAGCCCCGGCAGAAGACGATATGGACAACTGTCCCTCCAGACGGCCTCACAGTGACATGCCTAGGTGTGCACTGCCTGTCATGAAGGGTGTCATTGCTGCTTAGCCTACTGGCTTGCTCCAGTCCTCAGAATGGTCGTGAGAAGGCATTACTGCTTTGACATTTTACTTTGCCTTCTAAGCAAGGAGCAGAAATAACTTCTGAGCTTTCCTAAGTCTGACCAAGACTCGAGAATGGAGGCCGAGACTTTGATATTCAAGGTCTTTGGCTAGACTCCAAGTTTCGCCGACTGGTACCAGAGCAGAGGCTTTTGTATTCTTCTAGAGTTTTTTCTTTTTCTTTTTTTTTGTGTGTGTGTGTGTTGTATGTTTGTTTTGTCCCTATAACCAGGGATGTCATTGTAAATATATGTGCATTTATAAATAATTTTTCTACTTATTGATCTTGTGTGTTGGCTACAGTGTAAATATTTTTGATATGCCCAAATTATATGTAATGTCTATCTGGTTTCTGTATGGGCAGCAGCTTCTCAAGATCACAGACTTTACATAACTTAGTGTAGTGAGGTCTACACACTGTTTAAAGCTCTAAGACTCTCTGTCACGAAGCTCATGTAGAGGGACAGGGTACTTTGTGACTGTGTGCTCACAGACGACTCAAGCTTGGCATAATTCACTGCTTGCTTCATGCCTGAAGGTCCACACAGCTGATCACTCGCCACCTGTTTACAAGTGCCAGGTGATACTCTTGTTCTCGCTAGCATAAATGTCTTGTTCTTCCAGAGCCCGGCAGCCTTGCCACAGCCCTGTGAGCGTAGAAGATGGCTTATTTGGGGATTGTCTTCTTTCAGCAAAGTGCTTTGATGACAAGGAAACCAAAGATTGTTCTTTTTTTATGTTTACTTTGTTTTTAATCTCCACGAATGTAGAGTATTAAGAAGGGAAGTGTGCTCTCGGGAGCCAAGAAACTTTATGTAAACAGCGAATGCAACACTAATGCTAATGAAATGTCCTGTGCTTTCAGTCTGTCCTCTGTATGTAATACCAGCTTTCTGCTAGATAGCTCTCGACTTCTAAAGGTGTTTATTTTTGAGTAATTGTATATTTCTAGAATTCCAAATTCACAGGTTTTTAGCTTTTTATTAGAAAGTTAAGATGAATTTATGACTTTTTCCATGCTTGTTTTAATCCTAAATATTTCTTCTTGAGATAGCAGCACTGTTAGCTTTTTAAATTTTCCTTTTCTACTTAAATCGTCATGTTTTCTTCATTTTCATTTTGAACCTTTAAAATATTATTATAGTGTTTCATCCCTTTGGACCATACGCTTTCTTCCATTTGGACTGTGTTCCAGTTTTATGGTGGTCTGACTAGAAATTAAGAGCCGGGCCCCTTCCTGGTGCTGCTCTGGCTAGCCACATCTGACTCTTACTGATGGAAAGAGGCTGTTTACTAGCTGCTCTAAGCTGCTCTCCAGGAACCAAAGAGGATTGTGCTACTTCAGTAAAGAGCCGCCTTTGTGAACTGTTAGCTAGATCAAGAGTCATGCTGCTTGCTCTGACTTTAGCTGTATTTATTTCCCCAAAACAGGACTAATGGTCTAAGAAATGCTCAGGGGAGGGAACTGTTTTAAATCTCTGCTTTTAAACAGTGTCAGTAAACAAAGACTCACATCTGAATTGAAAAGCTGCCTTTTGTCTCCGGAGCAGCAGTGCAGATGTCACCTCTAAGCTCCAGCAGTGACCTTTCTGCTGGGGTGTCAGGCTGATCTCCTAAGGGTTGTGAAAGAAATGTTGGACTTCCATCCCAGATATCCCTGGCTTGTTACATAACTTATTAGGAATCCATCTACATATGGGAAGAGCCTGCCTCTGCTCTTAAAATAACAATTGCTTCTTACATTAGAGAAAGGAATTCCTGAAAAAACTTGCCCATGTTTGACCAAACAGTGTCTACCCTCCAAGAGTGATAAAATTGACGTCTCCTCAGCGCTTCTTCCAGGCTGGACAGGATCCACTTAGGACAATGTTAACTAGGGACATTGTAGAGCCAGGCAGACTGAAATGCTGAGAGAAGTGGTCCATCCCCACCCCCCAGCCAGCTCCTACTTCATTTCAGTTGGAACTACACAAGCTCTCTGAATTTGTTTGTGCCCCTCATGGGCTGATAAGCCCGTATAGTAAGTAGCCTTTTCCTTGAACTCAAAGTCGTACAGTACTCAGCAGCTGATGGGTTTCTGCTGGTCGCACCTTCATCTGCAGGCTGCTGTCCAGATAGGAAGCATGTGAAATCCAGCCCTGTGAACAGCTGTCTGTAAGACCCCACCCTAAAAGCTTTGCCCAGGCAGTTTTTGGTGAGGTGACTTTCACTCAGCAGGCTGTACATTGCCCAGTGAGGGGTTGTAAAGGACCAAGCAGTTTTGGCACTGTCGGTCATTCTGTGAAAAGGGGGACATGAGAGAAGTCTTTATGTACATCTGGTTGTAGGGAGGTATAAAGTACACATCTTAGTCCAATAAGTACACTTCTCTGGTGATGGAAATAACCTGCCTTTTGGAGGGAGGTGTGTGCAGACATCATTGCTAGCCATGCTGAACAGAGTCCTCCGATGGAGTGGAACACGGGCAAGGTCACTGTAATGTCTGCCGTGTTTTCATTAGCTTGGGAGTTTGTCCTTTGATCTTTATGTTTGGTTTAGTGCACTTCAGGATTTTTTTTTTTTTAAACCAAGCCATTGGGACTTTGGTTAACAAAAGAATCTGATCTGTGTTCCCCGCTAAAAGCATGAAATTGTAGCATTATTTTCTCTCAAGAAAAACCCTATACTTTTGACACAAGTGCCATTACTCTAACAAAAAATTTAAGCCTGTGTTGTATTATAGCTCTTTACTCTGATTTTTAAAAAAATATTACTATTTTTTTTTTTAGCTCCCTGGCTTTGAACTCTCAATCTCCTGCCTCATCCTCCCAAATGTGGCAACTACAGGTATGTCTGTCTTGATTAATTTTTGTTTTTGCCCATGGAGCCCAACTGAAGTGGAGTTGGTATTGCAGTGTTCAGTTTTAGGATGTTTTACCCAAGTTTGTGATAGCCTTTTCTCATTGGCTATCCACTGATGTGCTGTAGGGGTAAGGAGTAACAGGTAAGTGTGGCTGTTTTCCCCTGGTGCTGGGCATTGAGCCTACAACTCTGTGAATGCCAGGTGCATGTTCTCCCACTGAGCTCAGACCCCCATATCTGTGCTCTTTTTATGGGAGACTTGGTCTATCTTTGGGCGTTTTCTTTTTTTCCTTTTGGCAGTCCTGGGGATTGATCTATAGCCTCCTGCGTCCCAGGCAAGTGGTCTACCTCCGAGCTGCAGCCTCAGCTGAAATGTTGTTTTGCTACAGATTAATGAGTGGTTATAAAAGTAATGGTACCATAAATGGCTGAGCTGAGTTTTTTTCTGTTTGGTGCTCTCTGCCAGTCCAGTATGCACCTCCCTTTCCACTTTATATTTTTTGTTTGGAACATGATCTAAAGATACAGCACTTAGCCTAGATTTTCTTTTTCTTGTTCTTTTTTGAACATTAGTTCATTGGCAGAAGTACCAAGTTTCTGAATTAGGGATGTATGAGAAACTGCACTTAGAGCATCTGAAAACTCAAGACCCGTAGGCTTTGTGAGGAGGTGGGAGGGGAAGGAGAGTTTGGTGTGTGGTGTCCTGGGAACCAAACCCAGGTAAGCACTCTCGCAGCCCGTGTGCTGTAAGTTATGATTGGGTCCCTTCCTTCTTGGTTGCGCATTGTTTCTTCGCAGCGCTGGTAACCAAGTGGTGGAGCGAGGGTGCAGAGCAGCTTGATTTGTCTGCATCTGGTGTTGGACGTGCAGTGAGTTTGTAGTGACTGTAAGTGTTTCCAAAGAGAAACTGATCTTCATACTTCAAGTGCCCTTGAAGTGTGTCCTGGCTGCTGGAGATGGCCTCTTCACCCACCGAGTGACTTCTACTCCCTGCTGCCTTCTGTTCTCTTTTCCTGTTAGAGGCTGCCAGCTGAGCAGCCCTCCTGTAAGGCACCTCTAAAGAGATACAAGCCACGTTGTTCGGTGTGGCTGTTTCCCGGTATCGATTATATTTTCTCACATAAGAATGTATATTTTATAGAGCATGTGTTCGTCCTGTCTACTGTAATGTCAATAAAGCTAAACCGTAAATTTCTTGTCTTGCCTAAAGTATAGGAATGAAAAGTGTGTTTTTGTTTGGGCCCTTTTGAGGGGAGTTATTTGGTCAAATGTGAGACCCCAGCCCCCTGGCACCCCTATATCCAAGGACTCTGGGATGTTTGGTCAAAAGAGATCTCAGCCCTCTGCCACCCCTATATCCAAGGAGACTGGGATGATTGGAAGCATCACCCCAGCCCCTGGGAGTTGCCTTGGTCCAGACTACCCCTCCTGAAAAGCCCACCAAGCATTGACCCCTCCCTAGGGAAGGTCAGGATCACTCACACAGGCTATTTAGGCTGGGGCGCAGTGGCCCCCGGGTTTTGCATGGTCTTCCTTGCTCTTTCTCTCACCATGCTTTTCCCAGCCACCAGGGAGCACTGCATTAAACGTGGGCATCTTTTATCCAGTCTAATTTGGTCTGATTGGAATTATCAAATAGTTAAACAAGTTAAAATGAGATTGCCTTTCTCTTGCTGTCACCAAGTCCTTTCTGTGCCCAGTGCTGCAGCACCATGGATGGCACTGAGCTGTGTGGGACAGGCATTGTGTGCTCACTTGCTTGTCACTCCAGAGGTCCTCCGTGATGCTAGGTGCTGGGAGACAAATGGGTTCAAGAGCCATGTAAGTTCTCTACAAGGAGAGGATTTGAGAGCAATATTTTCTAGTTTGGTAAATTAATGTGTTTGAGGAATATCATATTCTGTAACTTGGTTGCTCCACCAACTCGGGGGTCAGCTCTTTGAAGACTGGGATTGTCATGTTGATCTCATTGTGTACATCTGCCGTGCTTTGGGATGCACTCACTGACTCTCCCAGCAGTCTGGGGGTACAGATGAGGCAGACAGCTCAGCTTACTTTGATCTGCATGTGTAGTTAAGGAAACTGCTTCAGTGGAGCTAGATACCCAGAGGCAAGAAGCTGTCGAGCAGCGGAGGTAGGGGTTGAGTCGGGTTTTGACGGATTCAGGGGTTTTCATCTAGGATGCCTTCTGATACTGAGTACCGTGCATTGGCTGCAGTCTAAAGCACAGGAGTGAAGCTGCTGCTCGTTCCCAGGGTGAAAATGAGCTAGAAGATTCGTGATTTTTCTACTGAATTCTGATGGATAAACAACTATCGTTTGGTTCTCTTGTAAAGTAGAATCCAAAAGCACACCCAACGCCATAGTTTCATTACTTTTTCTTCTAAGTCTGGAGTGGAATACTCTAGGGCCTTCTAGCAATATCCTGCTGTTATAAAAATACCCATACCCATTCACACTGAAAATTTTGGAAGTTTTTAACCTAGTACTGAGACTGTCCATATAGCATACTTGCTTGCTACAGAGCAATACTTTTATTAAGCATGAGTGAATATTAAGAAAAAATGAATAAAAAGACAAGGTATACAGGGTGGATGTATGGGTACATGTCTATAATTCCAGTACTTGAGAAGTGGAGGCAGGAGACTAGGAGTGCAAGGCTATCCTTGGCTATATAGCTGGTCTGAGGCCAATCTGCCCTACATAAGAGCCCGTCTTAAAAAAAAAAAAAAAAAACAACAAAAATAAAAAACAAGAAAAAAAAGTGGGGGGTGCTAGAGAGAGAGCTCAGAAAGGTCCTAAATTGAGTCTCAGAACCTGTTAAAAGCCCTGCATAGTGGTGTGTTCTTACAATCTTAGCGCTGTGGAGGAGAAGGCAGGGAGGCAGATCCTAGCTAGGCTTGATCCCAGCCAGGCTAGCCCATTTGGTGAGCTCCGGGTTAGTGAGAGACTATGTTTAAAAAAGCAAAAACAAAGGACCACCCCTAAGGAATGACATTCAAGGTTCTCTTCTGGCTTCCCCACACACGTGCACCCTCAGGTGAACATGCGCTCACAAAACAAAAAGAGTGCAAGTATAAGGATTGTACTGCACATTCCAGGGGTGGGTACTCTATGTATCTGCGAGCATTTCTGATCCCTTGCTCAGTTTGCACTTTTTCATGGACAAGTAGCAAGTACAGTCTGGAGCAGTCTGCAACCTTCTGAATTGCTCTCTCTCTGACTGTCGGTGCCATGTGGTCCCTGGGGGCTTGGTTGTACTCATTTCTTACGGTTCCTTTTGACCTGCTGGTCCAGAACAGTTGAAACTTGAAGACCACACTTCCGTCCAGTAGCCCTGGCTAGAAGCAGCCTCCTCTCTGTGTGCCAGCTCCTCCTCTGCTGAGTGCAGGTTAATGTGCAGGCCTGCTGTGTTTCTAGCCAATGCTCTCTGGACTAGAAAGCCTGTGGTTTGTTACCAGGGAAACTATCACAAGGTAGCTTGAGGGAAAAGAAAATACTTGGGTCAGTCTGCAAAGGAGATGGATTGCCAATATGGATGTCACATAGCTTGTGGAAGTGGCTGAAATGAGACTGTTGGAGCTGTTGAATTTGTCACCTCGGCTACATTGTTCGGCTAATGTTTTTTGACATCTCAGTTTGGAGCTGGAGAGGTTATGACTAAAGTTATTAGGAGCACTTGGTTGATGTGGGATTCCCCTCTGTATGCTGTGAATACCATTGGTTAATAAAGAAACTGTCTTAGGCCTATGCAGGGCAGAATATAGGTAGGTGGGGAAAACTAAACTGAATGCTGGGAGAAAGGAGGCAGAGTCAGAGAGAAGCCATGTAGCCCCATTGGAGACAGACGCCAGAACTTTAGCCAGTAAGTCACAGTCACGTGCCGATACACAGATTAATGGAGATGGGTTAAATTATGTAAGGGTTAGCCAATAAGAAGCTAGAGCTAATGGGCCAAGCAGTGTTTTAATATAGTTTCCGTGTGATTATTTCGGGGCTGAGCAGTCAGGAACAAACAAAAGGCCTTCTACAACACTTGGTATAGAGTACCTGGATTTGGTTCCCAACACCCTCATCAGGCAGCTTGAGATAGCTTGTAATTCGAGTTCCAGGGGATTTGGTATCAGTTGGTACCTGCATGCATATGGTGCGCGTTAACGTGTGTGCCAGTGTCAGCAGGGACCAGAAGAGAGTATTGGATGCCTCAAAGCTGAGTTATAGACAGTTGTGGGCCTTCTGACACGGGTGCTGGGTTTTGAGCTACCATTCTCTGGAAGATCAACAAGTATTCTTAACTGCTGAGCCATCTCTCAAACCCAAATAAACAAATCCTTTAAAAAAGAAATTTTTGGGTGCTAGAGAAGTGACTCAGAGGTTAAGAGCACAGGCTGTCCTTCCAGAGGTCCTGAGTTCAATTCCCAGCAACCAACCACATGGCAGCTCACAACTGTCTATAACTAATTCTATGGGATCCAGTGCCCTCTTCTGGTATCCAGATACATGTAGACAAAGCACTTATTTATACAATAAATAAAAGAAATTTCAAATTTTTTCAGTGTTCATTTAGTTCACAAACTGTCAAGTTTATTTGTCAAGGCAAATGTGAAGAATTACAATTACTGATAGAAAGTCTAAGGGGAGACTGCTCTTTTGTTTCCCGGCTGCCCAGACCTGAATAATCACACAGAAACTATATTAATTACAACACTTCTTGGTCAATAGTTTAGGCTATTTCTAGCTAGCTCTTATGTTTTAAATTAACCCATTTCTATTCATCTGTGTATCACCACGAAGCTGCAGCCTGCTGGTAAATTCTGGCATCTGTCTCCTTTTGCAGCTACACGGCATCTCTTTGACTCTGCCTACTCTCTCTCTATATCTCTCTGTTCAGATTTCCCACCTGGCTTTATTCTACCCTGCCATAGGCTGAAGCAGCTTCTTTATTAACCAATGATAATAAGACATATTCACATCATACAGAGGGGAATCCTACATCAAAGAAGAAGTTTTTTGTTTTGTTTGTTCATTTGGCTTTTTGAGATAGGGTTTCTCTGTGTAACATCCCTGTTGGGAGCTGCAGACCCCTGGCCCCTTGACTTTCTTTGTCCACCTCAGACCCTTTGTCTGCTGGAGTGAACTGAGCAAAACAACTTGTTTACCTGTGCCTGCAGCTGCTCTGAGCACGAGACCTTGATGACAGGGGAGTGGGTTCTGATGAGGCCTGCAGTTGAGAGATCCTGAGAGCTGAGCATGGCTATCAGTTAAGGATCCCTATATAAGCTTCCCTGGAGCACAATAAACTTGGCACTCTTGTATCAAGGATGACCCATGTCTCCATGACTCTTTCTGTCTGTGTACGTGTGTTTTTAAGTTTCCAGCTTAGTTCCTGGCTTGCATACCATCCCATAGTGCAGGCACTACAATCCCTAGCTGTCCCAGAACTCCCTTTGTATATCAGGTTGGCCTTGAACTCACAGAGATTCACCACCTCTGCCTCCCAAGTGCTGGGATTAAAGGCCACCACCAGCAGGAAGACGTTTTAAAACCAGTAGCAAATACGCTGTCTTTACTCCTACCAGATACTGCTAAGCACTCACTACATATAGCATTTTTCATATGTTTTTTGACAGAGAAATTCTTGTCTCCATTTTACAAATGATAGAACTTGAGTAATCCTGTAATCCCAGCACTTGGGAGGCACATGCCAGAGTTTTGTTGAGTTTGAAGCCAGCCTGGGCTCCACAGACCCTGTCTCAAGGAACCAGGCAGAATCATACAGATAATGGGGCAGGGCAAAGCACTTGTCAAAATTCACAGAACGAGCAAGCAGTAGAGCCAGGAATTGCAACTAGGATCTCAAAGAGCAAGTTATTACATCAAAAGGAAAACGTGAGCCTTTTGGAAGCCTTTGATTTGTCTGTTAGTCTTTATTGACTGAGTTGTGTCCCCGGCAAATAGAAATGCTGATGTCATATACCCCAGGACCTCAGTTACAGTCATTTTTCAAGATGGTCTTTGAAAGATATGATTAAGGTAAAGCGATATCTCTTAAGAGCAGGTCCTAACCTGATCTCATGGGAATCCTAAGAAAGAAGAAAAAAATCAGACTCCGAACACAGGAGCTCAGACAATAGGCCACGTGTGAACTAGCTGAGAAGGCCCCGTGTGAGCCAAAACCTGGAGAATAAAACTGTCCTCCCCGCCTTTCGATT